AATAATGGGTGCGTGTTTGGCGCATTTGCTATTGAATGATATATAGATACTTGATAGAAAGAGACGGTGATGGATGGATGGATGGATGGATGGATGGACAGATGGAGAGATAGATTAAATAAATAAAATAGATAGATAGATAGATATAGATACGATAGAAACATAATAGATAAATAAAAGAGAGAGATGGATGGATGGATGGATGGATGGATGGATGGATAGACAGATGGAGAGATAGATTAAATAAATAAAATAGATAGATAGATATAGATACTTGATAGAAACATAGTAGATAAATAAAAGAGAGAGATGGATGGATGGATGGATGGATGGATGGACGGATGGAGAGATAGATTAAATAAATAAAATAGATAGATAGATATAGATACTTGATAGAAACATAGTAGATAAATAAAAGAGAGAGATGGATGGATGGATGGGCAGACAGATGGAGAGCTAAATTAAAATACATATCAGATGAACTCTACCTATATATGTGCTGTTTTTTCAGCTGCTGTGGAAGTAGCAAAGCAAACCAGGGAAAGGCCTGCCCAATGTAGCCACTGTGGCTGCAATCACACATCCGAATCTGTCCCACAGGAACCACATTTACCAGATGCCATTGAAATGCTCCAATAAGTACATGCCTGTGAAGGGGCCTCTCTGATCAAGGTTGCTGCACCCACCCCACCCCTTGCTTCTCTTTGGCCCCGAGCTCTTTGCCTCCGGCATTGTCTCCTGTGCTCTGGCTGGCTGCCCAGCCTACTAGAGTCACTGCGGTTGATACCTTGGGAGAAAGAAGAACAAAGGCCAGAGGTTGCCTCTTCCTAGCTCTTCTTTCACAGGTAGGAAAAAAAGAGAATTTCAGATGACTCGTTGAGGAAGGCTTGGCTCCTCATCACTTCAAAGAGAAATCCATAAAGTTTAGGTAACAATAACATGGAAGCAGTTTAATATGATTAACTTCCAATGTGTTTTTGGACTTCGAAATGCAATTAACAGCCCTGGAATTTGTTGGAAGCCTCCAGTCCAACTTCTTATCAGAGCTGACCCTGCTCTCTTCAACTCAGTAAATTTATCATTGATGACGGAACCAATTAACGTTCACCAGGTACCTGCAGAAATGAACTGGATTTCAAGAACCCCAGAATGATTTTTCCATATTGTTCTTTTTTTCGTATTTGCAAACTCAGGCTCTAGGTAAGGGAAATTGGATAACCATTTATCTGTGGTGTAAGGTTTCCTGCCTAAGCAGGGGGTTGGACTAGAAGACCTCCAAGGTCCCTTCCAACTCTGTTATTCTAGTCTATCTGTCATTTTCTCTTTATTGTGCCCATACCATAGTCAATGATAAGTATTCAATGTAGAGAAAAGTAAAGTCTTATACTTAGGGAAAAAAAACCCAAAAGCATACATACAGACTGGGTGAAACCAGTAACTGTGAGAGGGATCTTGGACTCTTAGTGGACAACCAGTTAAATATGAGCCGACAACCGGGATGATTAGAGGACTGAAGGCTAAAACATACGATGAACGGTTGCAGGAAGTGGGCCTGGCTAGTCTAGTGAAGAGAAGGAGCAGGGGAGACAGGATAGCCGTCTTCCAATATTTGAGGGGCTGCCACAGAGAGGAGGAGGGGGTCAGCCTATTTTCCAAGGCACCTGAAGGCCAGAGAAGGAACAATGGATGGAAACTGAACAAGGAGAGATTCAACCTGGAAAGAAGGAGAAATTTTCTGATAGTGAGAACAATACTAGATGACCTTGGACTAGATGACCTACAAGGTCCCTTCCAACTCTGTTAATCTATATTTACTTATTTAAGTAAAATGAATTCCACACTTGGGACTCTACTATTCCAGCTTATTTAATTATTCCCCATCAAATTTCCCCATCATTCTAGTTATACTCAAATACTTGTAATCTCATGCTAAAAACTTTTTAATTAGTTTATCGAAGTATAAAATACAAAGAAAAACACAGAAAAATAAGAAGAGAGGGAGGAGAAAAAAGGGTACAGTTTAGCAGGAGAAAAAAATAAAGAAAAAGGCACCAACTTCCGATGCTCTTTAGCACAGTAGAAGGTAACAACAATACAACCACAACTTTTTGCTTTTACACAACAGCATGTACAAGCCATTTCTATAACAATAAGCCTGTTTAGTTTACAAAAACAGAATCAAAGTTTCTTTTTTTTTTCTTTCGCATTACAAACACAAAATCCTGAAGCAATTTCAAAATAGAGGCAAAATTAAATATCATCTCTTATTTGGATAAAAGAATCAGTTTAACCATCTCTGCTTCTCTTTGCTGTGGGGAATAATATATCATTCATTCTCATAGAATAAATGTCTACATAGAATAGAATCTATTTCTTCTCGGGAGAATCTATCAAGTCTCCAATACTTGTAATCTGTTTCAGGACCTGAGGATCTTTTATTCAGAACAGGGTATTTATATAACAGAAATAACAGAATAATAGAGTTGGAAGGGACCTTGTAGGTCATCTAGTCTACCCCACCCAAGCAGGGGACCCTACACCATTTCTGACAGATGGAAGTCCGGTCTCTTGGAGGTTTCCAGTGGTGAAGCTCCCACAACTTTTGTAGGCAAGCTGTTCTACGGGCTAAGTGTTCTCACTGTCAGAAAATGTCTCCTTATTTCTAGGCCTTGATCAGTTCCCATCCATTGTTCCTTGTCTGCCCTTCAGGTGCTTTGGAAAATTGACCTCCTTCTCTCTGTGGCAGCCCCTCAAATATTGGGGCTGCCACAGACTGCTGTCATGTCTCTCCTGGTTCTTCTCTTCACTAGACTAGCCATGCCCGGTTTCTGCAACCGTTCTTTGTACGTTTTAGCCTCCCGTAATCCTCTTGGTTGCTCTTCTCTGCACTCTTTCTAGAGTCTCAACATCTTTTTTTATAGTATGGTGACCAAAACTGGATACATAATTTCAGGTGTGGTCTTACTAAGGCTTTATAGAGCAGTATTAGTAACTGACTTGATCTTGATTGTATCCCTCTGTTAATGCATTTTAGGATTGCCTTGGCTTTTTTGGCTGCCACCGCACACTGCTGGCTCCTATTTAACAGGTTGTCCACTAAGACTCCAAGATCTCTCTCACAGTCACTGCCACTAAGCCTGGTTTCCCCCAGTCTATATGTGTCCTTTTGGTTTTTCTTACCTAAGTGTAAGACTTTACTTTTCTCTGCATTGAATTTCATTTTGTTAGATAGGGCCCAGTGTTCAAGTCTGTCAAGATCCATCTGGATCTTCAGCCTACCATCTAGGGCTGTTAGCTATTCCTGCCAGCTTAGTATCATCCGCAAATGTGGTAAGTCCCCCTTCTATTCCCTCATCTAAGTCGTTTATGAAGATACACACACAGTCATCTATCAGCACATCACATGGGCAAGTATTTGTATTCTTATCCCTCCCTTTGACTTAAGTTGAAGATAAAGTCTTAATGGGCAACACACAATGCATTTGTACCCTTACCAATCTTGTGACCTATTTCAGTGCAAACATTTAGGGAAAGAAAGCTTGAGGGCAGAAGACGAGAGAGAAAGGGCGGGGGGGGGGGGGGGGGAGGGAGGGATATTTTTTTTTATCTGAAAGGCATTGTCTGCCATAGCAACACGGGAGTCATAAAGACAAATAGCTTGGCATTGTCATGGGTTATTTAAAAATAAACTAGGTTAGTGTCATTTAATGTTTTCATGAAGTTTCCAGCTCTGCTTGAAATCTTGTACTGTGGCACAACACAACAGAATTGCAGAGAGATCACAGCTGTTCTGACCATTTGCTGTTATTGTGCTTGAACAATAGCTGTGCAAGAACTGTGCTGGTCAGTGTAGTAATTTTTTGTTCTATCCTTTTAGTGATTTTCTAACGCCCAGTTCATCCTCACCGTCAGAAGAGAAGAGGGGGAAAAAAGAGATTCATTTAACATTTGAAAGCATTCCAACTAAATGTAGAATACGACCACTTTAAGGCATTGAAACGGCAGCAACTTTGGCCTGTAGCCACCTGTCATGTGTTAAGCATACTGCAATTTTTTTCTACATTACTTGAATTAATTTTCTATCTCCATAGATAATGTTTCGATAAGTATACTATACAACTAAACAGAGACTAGATTTATTCCCAGTTTTTCTAAACCAGTTTAGTTTAGTTTAGTTTAAATACAAAGGCTGAGAACTCAAGTTTCAGAAACCGTGATGATTTCCAAGCTGGAAATATAGAAGATGTAGAAGATATTTTGACAGAGAAGCCACAAGGAAGGGATTCTATTAAGTAATAATGATTAAGAGATCTAATAAGACCTTACTTTAGCTTCTGATCCTGGCTGGTAACTCTGTTTCCAGTGTGTCTAAGCATGACAGGAAGTATTCAAAATGGACTGTAGTTAATATACGTTTTGGTGTCATTTTTGTATAACTTGGCATCTTTGGTGCTGCTGCTGTTATTATGTTGTCATCCTTAGGATGGGGACATTGTTCAGTGGGTGGCGTTCCTTCCTCCGAGAGTGGGGCATCGGAATTTCATTTTAATGTGTGCCATTGTGCATACGGGTAAATGACAATAAAGGTTGTTTTATCTTAATTGTGTTTCTCTGGGTTCTGGATGTTCTCTGATCTGGTTTCTCATTCTCCAGATGTTTATTTAGCACATCTCTGGCTACACATCAAGTGCTCAATAATTCAATCTTTAACTATAGATACCGGTAATCCTTGTTCACTGACTTTTTGCTGTTGCAAAAACTATGAAAAAGTAACGTTATGACAAGTATTCACATTTTTACAACCTTTGCGGGTCTGTCAAGTAAAAGAAAGCTGAAGTCCAATTCTAAGCACAGTCACGGTTTTACGATGCTTTGCTTAACGCCTGATTTGCCAGTTTCACTTGGGGGCTGTCACTAAAGAAGGACTCCCTGTATTTTCCACTATGGCAACAGCTGGGTTTGATCACACCTTTTCCTTTCTTGCTTTCTTGCTTGCTTAGGTTTTGAACTTGGTTTTGCGATGTCGAGTCCCAATGCCCTTGTGTGCTGGGAAGCTCAGTTTGGCGATTTTCACAACACCGCCCAGTGCATCATTGACCAGTTCATCAGTTCTGGGCAAGCCAAGTGGGTCCGTCACAATGGAATCGCCCTTCTTTTGCCCCACGGAATGGAAGGAATGGTAGGCCTTTCGCCAATCGCAATAATACTTCCGGGTTGGCAAGAAGCAGTTCGTTTCCTTACTGAAGCTTTGAAATAATGCAGTTTTTTCCTACGTATTTTGCCTTTCCTATTTAAATAGGCTTTTAAAATATAGGAGGCTTTTAAGAAGAGACGGGACAGCCCCTTATCTGCCCCCATGGTATACAGGGTCTCCTGCTTGGGTGGGTGGGTGGGCTGTGTGGGTTGGACTGGAGGACCTCCAATGTCCCTTCCAAGTCTGTTACTCTCTTTTTCTGTTATTCTTTCTGTGGTCATGTGAATCCACCTCATGAAGCTCAAAGAAAGTCCAGAATAGCTATAGGATCTCCTGCCTTGGGCAGGGGGTTGGTCTAGAAGACCTCCAAGGTCCCTTCCAACCGTATTATTCTATGTTCCACCTGCTTGAAATAGGTTCACACAACAGAAGGATTAGAAGACCTTTTTATTCCACCAGGCGGGCCTGGCCTAATCTTTTCCCTCTCTTCTTTTTAATATGCAAATTTTAATCTGTTTTTTAAATGATTGGGGTGTTTTAATTTGTCTGGGCCAAATTGTTTAATTCGATTTTAGCCTGTTTTTAAATTTTGTATTTATGTATTTTACTGTTTGGCTGTTCACCGCCCTGAGTCCTTCGGGAGTAGGGCGGTATACAAATCAAGTAAAGATAAAAATAAAGATAAAGAAAGAAGAGGACTTTGAGGTCTTCTGGACGGCTCTCCTGCCTGGTTCAGGAATCCTCACACCTTCAATGGTTCTTCTGTAATGTGAATCTTTTGTGAAGAATAAAAGTATCAGTGAAGAAAATGGCAAATGTTTATAGGTGATTTAATATATACCCGAGAATAAGCCCTGCTCATTCTAGTAAGTCTCGATGCTGAGAGATTTTATAGAGTTATAACCCGTTCCACACTTATAATATACACACGTAGTAATCAGCTACTAAATCTGTGCAGCAGCCATTGGTGGTAAAGGCTACGGCTTCTACTCAACTGTTTGAATCAAGTGATATAAATTCATGTCATGATTCAAGCAGGATTTCTACTGTTAAAATATCTTGCTGGACCAGCTTGTATATCATGCCGTCCTTTGTAGCTGTTAATTTTGTATTGCACTGTTGCCAGAGCAATTCTGCCCGAAATGGCAATTTTATTTGGATTTAGAGGGTAGATAATTAAACTTGTTTTCCTTCAAATGCTGTAACTATCAGGGTCCAGAGCATTCGTCAGCCAGACCGGAGAGGTTCCTTCAGATGAGTAATGATGATCCCGATGCATTCCCTGTAAGTAGGTTTATTGATTGATTCTCTATCTCTTCCCCTGCCATTTCATCCTTGTTAATAACATTTCCTATCAATCACTGATTTTAGATCATCAATGATATTAATTGAGCAGACTTCCCCCCACCCCCCCAAAAAAAGGCAATGTACTGGTGGATTAAGCATACCATCTTTTGACAGTGGAAAGAAAACCCCTCTGCATATAGTCATTATAAGCTTCCATTGCTAGGAAATCAATAAAATCACAACTAGGATCACCACATATTAGTAAAATATAAAATGTGCATGGACAGATAGTGGGCCAGTTAATACGTATTATTTACCTGATGCAGGAATATAAGATACAGCAAACAAGATCTCATAACCACCACTCAAATTATCTGACCTTAGCAGATTTGCCACACAATTTACAATAGGTTACACAAAGCACATAATTTTAGTATTTTCAGTCATTACCTTTATCCAGAGAAACTTTGGCTGAAATATTCAGTTTTTAAAATATATCAGGGAAATTAACTATGGGTTTAGTCACCTTCCTAACAACCGGCACTTCAGACGCAGGGAACCCCAAATATTGGAAATTTATTTATTTATTTATTAGATTTAAATTGCTGCCTATTCACCCTTGGCGACTCAAGGCGGTTTACAGAATATAAAAAAACACATTTAAAAAACAGTAAAACTCATTAAAAAATCAAATAAATTAATGTAATAATATATATACTTTCATGGCTGGTTGCTAAGAGTAGATTGGTCTTCCCTGGTGGGAACAGAGGACCAGAGGGATTTAATCCTGGGTCTCAAGACTAAAGACTCTCCTTGTGGGGTCCCACTGTTTGTACACAAAATTGCTCCTAACTGGAAAAATGTCCGTGTATTTTCCTAACAGCCCCTAAGTTATTACATTGACATTAATCACAACAGAGCACAACCCCAGATAAAGACCCAAATGAAAGCACGCATCTTTGTGGGCCGTCACAAGGAGCTGTGTTTCACTGCGACTGACAAATTCTGCTCCCTGGGTGCCTTTTGTGATGGTCCAAGAAGCATCTGAGGTTCCTCCGACTGAGACGAGCCTTGGAGGAACGGCTGCATCTCACCTGAAGACCCTCCCTTCCCACCCGTCTCCAAGCCCTTGGGAAAATCAAACGGCCGTAGCAGATGGCCTGAAAGCCACGTCCGGCTTCCTAATACCTTTGATCCTGTCCCTCTCCAGCAATTCAAAGACGACTTTGAGGTTTCTCAGCTCTATGACTGCAATTGGATCGTGGTGAACTGCTCAACACCAGCCAGCTATTTCCACGTCCTCCGAAGGCAGATATTGTTGCCCTTCAGGAAACCGGTAAGTCGTGAAATGGTTGCGTTTGTCATTTATGCATCGCCTGTAATAGCCCTGGCACTTAGCACTTAGACTTATATACCGCTACACAGTGCTTTAAAGCCCTCTCTAAGGGATGTTTACAGAGTCAGCCTCTTGCCCCCAACAATCTAGCTCCTCATTTTACCCACTTTGGAAGGATGGAAGGCTGAGTCAACCTTGAGCCGGTCAGGATAGAACTGCTGAACTGCTGGCAGCCAGCAGTCAGCAGAATTAACTGCTCTACTGCACCCTAACCACTGCACCACCACTGCACCACGATTGCATGCAAATTACTGATTGCAAGAGGCTGCATGAGAGAAGGCCAGACGGATATCCCAGAAGTGACCTAAAGAATGGAAACAATGAGGACATTATACAAGTAGTCCTCAATTTACAACAGTCCGTTTAGTGACCGTTCAAAGTTACAACGGCACTGAAAAAAGTCACTGATGACCATTTTTTCACACTTATGACCGTTGCACGTGACCCTTGGTCACGTGCTCAAAATTCAGATGCTTGGGAACTGACTCATATTTATGACGCTTGCAGTGTCTTGTAGTCACACGATCCCCTTTTGCGACGTTCTGACATGCAAAGTCAGTGGGGGAAACCAGATTCACTTAACAATCGTGTCACTAACTTAACAACTGCCGGGATTCCCTTTAAAAAACCTGGCAAGAAAAGTCATAAAATGGGGCAAAACTCATTTAACAAATGTCTCACTTAGCAACAGAAATGTTGGGCTCAGTTGTGGTCTTCTTATCTGGAAGTTATTTTTCTGCCCATTTTGAATATTGATATTTATCTGTACATTCGGATCTGGCTGCTTTCCCACCTTTTCCAGTTGATCCAGACTATACGAATGGGTCAGTGATTCCGAGGGGTGAAAACTGCATGATTCCATTCTCAGAGATATTTTTCTGTTCTGCCTCAGAGCCTGGAGTTTTCTGATGTCATTCTGGTAAATTACAGCTTCCACATATTTTGGCGGAAACAGTTTTGAAATTTCCATAAAACCTTGGGTTATTTCATTTTCATTTTTCATTTTCTTTCTTGTGGTGATGTCTTTGATTCACGAAATGCACTTTGGGAGGTTGCTTTGAGCTATCTTTAAAAATAATAGAGTCGACTGGAGTTGCAGAACCTTAGTTAAGAGCAGGACCCAATTAATCTTAACTGATTAGTAGAGGGACCTTTTCAGTAGGCTATTTCTGTTAGGGTCTCACCCAGGACTTCACTGATGATTTGGTTGTAAACAATTCAGCCTTTGATTCAATGCTTGTTTGAATATACTGGAAACTATGTACTGACTCTGGTGACAAACTCACATTTTAATGATTTTACAGCTAATTATCTTCACCCCTAAGTCATTGCTGAGACATCCTGAAGCAAAATCCAGTTTTGATGAAATGGTGCCAGGTAGATTTGCGTGTTTTGGAAACGTTTTGCTTGCTGTGACTTGCTCAGGGGAGACAATCGGAACTTCTAACTGTTCAGGGTTTTGGGCTGACCCTGCAGGATTTCCTGTCCCCTGCTCAAATCTGGTGCATCTGCAGCCACCGGCAGAGCAGGGAGAGGAAAACAGCGACCCACCCAGATGCCTGAAGGTAGAGCTCAGTTTTGCTGAAGCTGCTGGGAGGAACGAGAGTGGAATCCTGCCTGTATTCACTTGGGAGTCGGGTCTCCTTCAATACGTCCTCTCTGACTGGACCATCCTATCCTGCCACGACCCATTAGCTAAGAGGGAAATCCTGTACCTCCTCTGAATGCCCCTTGGTCAGTGTTCTGGCTTATGTTGGATTTGGGGCTATGAAAAACAAAAGGTGATCTCATGTATGTCCGTAGGGTTAAACATATATATGAGTATGTCTGTAAGATTAAACAAACATACATACAAGCTTATAGGTGTGTTTAATCTTATACACGTACATACAGGTGGGAAATTTAAGATCTGTGGACTTCAACTCTCAGAATTCCCCATTCTGGCTTATGTTGGCTTTTGGTCCATAAAAAATAAAAGGTGATCTCATGTACGTGTGTAAGATTAAATGAACATATCAGTATGTGCATAAAATTAAACAAACATACATCTAAGCAAGCTTACATGTATGCTTAATCTTACACACATACTTGCAGGTGAGAAATTTAAGATGTGTGGAATTCAACTCTCAGAATTCCCTAACCACTAAAAATACTGGTCAAGAAGGCCCATGCATATGGGCCGTGATCTCATAGAAACTGATTCCTGGGAATCTGGACCAGCAGGATCTAACTTCATCCCCATACTAGCCTGATCCTCTGGGAAGGGTGCAGCTTCCTGCATTGTCCATTCCAGAGGTGGTATTCACTTACTTTTGCTACTGCTTTGCAAATGTGAGAGTGTGCTTGCTTCGCTCACACATGCCAGCTCTGCGCACGTGCAGAGCATCGAAAACGGGACATGATGACATCCGGGCGGGTGGGCAGAGCCTCCCACAGCTGCCGCTACAGCTTCGCCCGAACCAGATAAAACCGGCTGAATACCACCACTGGTGGATCCGGCCCATGGGGTGCTTAGATCTGCCCCGTGGGACTAACCCGTGGTGCCTCTGCCAGTGAATACGGAGCTCCATTTGCTGGCAGAGGGCTGCAGGAGGCTGTTGCAGCTGAAAACGGAACTGGAGACAATGGATCCCCCAGCCCCGTCTGGGTCACCACAGGTACCCCTGACACCAGTGATGTCGAGCTGGTCATGCCCACCCCAGCTGCGCCCACCCGGCCCCTGAGGTCAAACACAACCCTCATGAAATTGAGTTTGACATCTCTAGAACATCTCTGCAGAAAATCATGAATGTGGAATCAGAAGAATAAGAAATAACTATTATTCCTCTTATTCTACTAATCACATTAATGATTCATCTTTGGGTTTTATAGTCCAACCTTGTGTGTTCTTCCTAGGTACCAAGTTTAAGCGTGTGATTGCAGAAGAAGGAGTTGCCGCTGAAACCCCCCGGGAGGTGAATCGGGTGATTTTCTGTACTGGGAAGGTATATTATGATCTTGTTAAAGAAAGGAAAAATCAAGATCTGGAAAAAGCAGTGGCTATCATCAGATTGGAGCAGGTAAAACTTGTGCTGTAGAAACTCTAGAACATTTGTTTTAGAAACAATTTTACATTTATGTGGTAATTAGAGTCAAACTTTGAGTCTTTGATTAGTCAGACTCTAAACTGGTGGGGTTTTTTTAGGAGTCCTTGGTGCTCTCTGAGCTTGGTTGTTTTTTTGTAGGTAACATCATCAATGCTACCTAGTTTGGATCATGAAATGTCTGCAAGAAAACAACCAAGCTCAAAGAGCACTACGGATCCCACAATCCTCCTCCTCCTCCTCTTCCTCTTTCCAGCACTGATGATGTTACCTAGTTGGGTCATGAAACATTTGCAAGAAAACAACCAAGTTCAGAGAGCACCAAGGACCCCTCATTTCAACCCTGAGCTACAAATGTTCTCCTTTATTTGGGTTTTTTTTTTTTTTTTTTTTCAGGAAAAATATCAGGAAAAAAAAAAGGATAGTAGTATTCTGTATATAGATTCCATCAGGTAATATTTTAATCTTGGCATCCGTTGTCACAATCAGAAGAGCTTTTATTTCAGTGCACTATTCTGTACTGAAATAAAAGCTGTTCTGATTGTGACAGTGGATGCCAAGGTTAAAATAGTATCTGATGGAACCTAGTTTATCATGTAAATTACAAAGCCATCTTTCCTCCACAAAGTTTTAATAATATTATTGATCATTTGCATCTTAATTGTGACTCTGCTTGTCACTGTGATATTTCACTCCATTTCTTTCATTTGCAAGTTAAAAGCCCTGGTGTCTCCAATGGACGTTTGAATGAAAATGTTTTTCTTCTGCTTTATTTTGGTTTCATGATATTAGCCAGTAATACATGGCACAGTAAAGGGTCCAAATATTCTCATATTTATTTCCCTTAAAGTATTGCATCCTGTAGAATTTTTTTTAAGTAATTGAGATGGGGTTTTGAATTGATGTGCCTATGAATTCTCCTTGGCCTAAAGATAATCGTTGGAATTCTTCTGGCAAATGTATGCATAGTTCATGAACCAAGAACTATGTACTGTTTTTTAAATTATTATTATTTTGATATTTATCAGATGAGCCATTCAAATTTCATTCCATTAGGGAGCATTGGTAATGAAAACAAATGATACCAGTCATCTTCCTCTTAGAATACTGAGACCCCAAGTAGCTTAATTTTGGTGATGTAATTTCATAATAGTGAAATTTAAGAAATATATACCAAATGAAAGTAGCTGCAAATATATGCACTGATGCAAAACCCACAAGAAAAAGCTGTACTTCAGCTATATAAAAGTAGCAAAACTGCTAACTGTAACCCCACAGTTGACTAATCTGATACTGTTTGTGTAGGGGAAAAAAGTATTATTTCTCCTTGGATTAAGATGCAGGATCATTTCTTTACTCATCATTTGGAGTGCAAGGAGCCTTCTTCAAGTGATCCTGCCTATTCTGTTTTGCATGTGGGCTGCTGTCAGGCACGAAGAATCAAATGTTAAGTTCCAGTTAAGCTGATTTATTGCTCAAGCCTATAGACAAGACTCTAGTCAACTAGCGTTCAACACTAAATTGACACTAGATAAGAGTCAACAGAATTCAAGAGACCTAGACCATTTATAGGAATGGAATGACTCTAGGCTGATGACTCTCTTGACTCTGCCCCCAGACTCTGCCTGCTCTTCTCCCACAACTACCAAGTTTTTAAACAAAAATCATCGCCAACATTCCTATTTTAATTTATATTTTCATGCATGCTCTCACACTTACCATCCTAACAGGTGGAAGCTTGGAAAGATATAACGAATAACTGCACCATAATCCTCACATCTGTGCAAGACATGCAGACTGTTTGGTTCGCTTTGATTCATAGATCGAATAAAACCTTTAAGGCTCCTTGTTTGTGTGCATGGGAGACCCCGTTAGGGAAGCATTTGGGGAATAAGATGTACAGCTGCAGAACGTGACATCTTTATATTTCAGAGGGTCCTTTGATGTTTTCCCTCTAGATCTCACCATTTCCTTTTGATTTGCTAAAAGAGGAAATCGAGAAATATGCTAAAGCCGAACTTGTCTGGTGCCAAGAAGAGCACAAGAACATAGGCTACTATGACTATGTCAAGCCTCGTTTCCGGACCATCGTCAACCATACTCGACCTATATGGTAACAGTGCTTGCATTGGATATCAGTGATCACCTGAAAATCATTTAGCGCCAGGCGGTAAGCCTGGAATTTGCAGTGCATGGAGCATGTCCAGCCAGTAAATTGCATTTCTTCTAAGATGGATTGGTGGACCCCTATGGAGTCTAAATAGACCACATGGGGGAATCTGCTTGGAGCACTGATCTACAGTAGAGATCTGAAATCTTTTTGGAAAATAGAGTGAAGAAATTTGGAAGACCACTTTAGTCATAGAGCTGGGTAAATGTTGGCTGAACTTCTAGTTGCCCATGTAAGATGTGGATGCTGTAGCAGACAGCTATTCAGCCTTGCTAGTTATCTCCTGTATAATCAGCCGTCCATCAGAAATTATAGCGTTAGTAGGTATTATTATATCCACACCTACTTCAGAGAAATCTCTAATTTATTTCCTCTTGTATCTTAAGGTATGTTGGTCGGGACCCAGCGGCTGCTCCGGCCACAGGTAATAAAAACACTCATCTCGTCTCGCTCCGAAGATTTTTGGATACAGCCTTCAATCTGGAGGCCTTTGAAGGGAAGACATTTTGAGCCTTGGCCTGGGTTCCCTTGCTACATTATCTAGAATGTATGTATTTATGGAAGGAAGGCCATCACCATAAAAAGGGAATGAAAGCTAGTTGAGGGTTTCGGTTTTTAGGCAGGGAAGTAGTCAGCTCCTTCAAAAGCTTGTCAAATTAGCTGTATGTATGCTGTAAATGTTAGAAGTAATTTATGATTCCGTTAATTTGGCTTTAAGAATTACAGCACGGCTACCTCTTAGCGGAGAGACAGCCAAGTAGCCCAAGTCTTGTGCTTTAAGACTGGAGCAGTAGTTGCCAACGTTTCTAGTGATCTCTCCTTCTTTGTTAACTTCCTGTAGATATAAACAGGATATAGATTCTGTTTTAGGTACCTAGATTACTCCTTAGGATTGTGCTGAGAGAAAACCATGCACTCATCAGAATCCACAAAATCGGCAAAGGTTGTAAACGAAAAAGATGCAGAGATAAGACAGATACAGTATACTAAAAATACGATTGCGAATAGCTCTGACGTACTATATCGCTACTTCATCTTGCAACGTAGCTGGGAATTTTCAATTAAAAAGGGCCAAGAAAGTTATGTTGCCCTGTATATTGTAAAATGTAACTGCGGTGGTAATCATAAGAATAATAAAATAGGATTCATCAGAAATATTCTGCCAGTATTTGACTCTGTGGCATCAAGTTGGTGTTGACTCTTCGCAACCACATAGAAAGCTGAAATATGGCAAAACATTTAGAGTTTTTCTTTAAGAAGTATCTCAAAGGGAATGCCCGAATGCAATGTAAATAACAGGGAGTCTATATATTTCACAAGAAAGATCATCTCAGTGGATCTTGAAATATTTTCTGTCTTCCTTTCAGTAGTAAATGCTCTTGTAGCTGGGAACTGAGCAAAATTAACATAGAGATAGAAATGTGAAAGCCTGGCTTTCTGCTGTTGTTGTTTGTGGGTCAGACCATTCTGCTTTAAAAATAAACAATATCCAAGACGTGACAAGTAAATAATAACATGTAAGGTCTGGTTTATTTGTGGTTTTATGACAGTCTCATCTTTACCGATTAATCCTAGCATCTTGCTCACCAAAATTTGACCTCCATCATCGTTGTTGTTGTTGTTGTTGTTGTTGTTGTTATAATTTATCATTATTCCATCTATAGTTTGATTTTATTCGAAGTCTTTGCAGTTTAATCCTGGGAGAATTGCAAGACAGAGAACATCTTTTGAACAAACTTAGTTTTGTTTTTTATACCAACATAACTACACTGAAGTTAATAGGTTTGCCAGGTGTTACTTTTCTGAACCTTCAGGCCATTTTAAAGAAAACCTATGAATTAGTAGAAAATTAGTAGAAAGCATCCTGTGTTTGTGTTTTATTTTTAAAAAGTTTCCGAATTCTTCGTGATTCCTGTGATACTCAGCATCCTGAAGGAGAAATATCAACATTTTCTCAGTTGTCGACTCACAATCTTTTAAACAGCATCTCAAATGTCATCTTTCTAGGCAGTCTAGGAGCCCATTAATGTGCTTTTGGTAATTATGCACAGATTTCTTTTACCCAGTCATACAGGCACACAAATTAATTTATGTTTTTATTCTGTGCATAAATGGAACTATGGTTCAGTTCTCTGTATCATTTGTTGGTCTTCCTTCTAAAATGAGACTAAAGCTGGGCCCCCTGATAGAAATTCAGGGAAGAGACCGGATGGGTTTCTTCAAGGGTGAGTCCTTGCACCACAAATGACCCTGTCTTGTGCCTGGATAAATTTTCAAGCGAGAAAAGTCAAACATTGCACCGGACTAGAGTAATTGAAGACTCTTCCTTGGGAGAGAGAGATACTGATCCTGTATAGCCCCAAAGGTGCTGAAGGCAACTGGACTTGCTGGATTCAGAAATGAAGAAGCTCCTTCGATGAGAAGCGAAATGTTTTCAAAGGAAAAAAATCCCAAGAAAGTCCATTTGCATTCTGGGAAAAAGCACCTTTGGGATAACCTGGATATTTAAGAAGCTCCATAGATCATGAATAGCTTCACATTAGCAGCACAGAAACATGCTGGAGATTCTTGGTGATCCTATTCCACACAGAAAAGGAAAACCTTCTTCATAAACTCTGCTAATTCAATAGAAATGGACAGGATATGAGTAGATTGTTGTTGTTTTTTATTTTAAAACGAACTTTATTAAATTATCAAACAATTATAAAAACAATTAAAACCATAATAAGATAGTCATATACATAGATCATATCATATATTGGACATTTCATTTCTATTCTTTTACATATCTATATATATTCTTCTTCTCTACACATTATATATTTCATAACCTAGTCCCATATTCATTCTCCTGATGGTGAAGTCATTGTTGGTATTTATATGAAATAAGTATGGAAATACACTCTCAATTATCAGTTCTTAGTTTAAAATTCACTATTAAAGAAAGGTATGAGTAGATTGTTATTAATACAAAGCATACCTTACAGTATTGGCAAAGTCCTAGTAGTAATGCAAGACGCTCGGTCAAATTCATGGCTAATGACAGCTAATGACATGTCATGGTAGGAGATAAAACAAGTGATTTTATTGTCATATTCAGGAGAGATTGTTATGTGGAATATAGTACTGGAAGTCTTCCTTCCTATAGTTAAATGTTATACTATATGAATCTCTGCTACCTAGAATACAATTGTTTTGGATTGATATGAGAAACTGGTGACTTCGAATCTTTCAAGTACTTGAGGGAGCGGGATGCAATCGTCTTATTTTATTTATGTGTTATTGAATTTATTTGCCACCCATCTCGTAGCAAACAGCTCTCTCTATACTCTCTATTCAGAGGAATGGAGTAGAAAGGTGGTTCTCGGGAGGCTTCAACACAGGACTAAGGAATGCAATGCAGCTTGGATCATCCCTCTCCCCCTGTGGTCACGGGGATGGTTCAAGAAGGTGAGGAACACTTCAAAAGATCAAGATGAGCATAGAAAAGCACAAGGACAAAAAGGCTCTAAAGAATTAGATATAAAACAGAAAAGTGATTTGTGAATTGGAGATAGTACTGTTTTGGCATCAAGGTAGAAAAGGAGCCTTCCTTCGTGAGAAATGAGCTTTTAAAAAAAACAAAACACAACAAAACTTCAGTAGGCTTTTAAGACTGCCTCTCGAGCTTCTTGGCAAAGAGGGTCCAACTTTCCATCTCCTCCTGAGAGCAAGAGAGCAAGAAGGGGTGGTAATTAATAGATCAAAATTCATAGCACATCAATGGATCTTGATTTGTTGCATTTCTTAGCCATGAGTACATGGAGCGAACCTCTGAGATACTTGAGCCCGTGTCGATGCCATTGGCACTTACCAAAATCTAAATCATTAATGTTGCACTGGAAGACGGTCTCTCCATTCACGATCAGCTGCACATCATTCCAATCGGGAATTTGCTCGAGAACAATTTGATGCCCGTCTTCTTTTAACACAGCTGCAGAAAAAGTAGAGCAGGCAGAAAACAGGGTTCGTTCCCAAAGCTGTTGACATCCACAGTACACGAAGGGCCTCACAATATTTAATCACAAGATTAATAAGAATAACAATGATGATAGAGACCTGCAAACAGAAGCAGAACAACTGCGGCCAAAGAAAGCAAAGGCAGCACCCAGAGTCATAGGGGCCTTGGGCGCAATCCCAATAACATCTGGAGCACCACTGGAACACCTTCATCGGCATTGACAAATTCACCATCAGTCAGTTGAAAAGGCAGCTTGACTCAAAATAGCTTCCATCCTGCGATGGTACCTCTGGCTCCATCACACAACCACATCTGCCTATCCCGGGTCCTTGGAAGGAGACTCCAGGTGGACAAAGACTCCCAATCCAGTCTAGACATCTGACTGACTGTGTGACAAAACAACGATAGAGCCTTATTTTTCCGACCCTGGGCCAACTCCTTTAAGTCTCCCCCCATTAATTTGCTGTTTCTAAATTAAAGACTCAACAAAACGTGTCTTCATTGGAGAGTTGTGTGACTCTCAGAAAACCCTCGTTGCTTCCTATCTGAGCTGGAAAAGAGAAAGTCGGCTGGTGGTTTCTCCCATGCCAAGTTAAACAGGCTTTAAATATGTCTGTCTTATTCATAGGTCAGACCTTACAGAGAACTATGGTTTGTGTACCTGCTTATTTATTTATTTTTCTGCCTAGTCAAATAATTTTAAAAACAGGTTCATGCAACAAAGACAAAACCAAACACAGCAGGGTTTTGTTTTTTTTTTTAAAGCAGGCCTTGAGGGTTTTGCCCTGAAATAGACCTTTTTTTTTTTTTTTTTTTGCTTTAATTTATATGCCGCCCTTCTCCAGAGACTCAGGGCGGCTTACAATGCGTTAAGCAATAGCCTTCATCCTTTTGTATATTTATACAAAGTCAGCTTATTGCCCCCACAAACTGGGCCCTCAATTTACCTATCTTTGAAAGGATGGAAGGCTGAGTCAACCTTGAGCCTTGGAGAGATTTGAACTTGCAGTAATTGCAGGCAGCAGATGTTAATAACAGTGCATTAGTCCACTGTGCTACCAAGGCTCTTTAGACATTGTCAGGAGTTAACTTGACTTTCTATCCTCAGCCTTCCACCAATATAAGGACTCTTAATTTTTACTCCAGCTATTGTAGATTTCTGTTCCTCTAGCAACTGGGCAAGAAACTGAATTAGAAGGCAAAGTTGCCAACACAATACAGATAAATAAATTGCCGGATATGGTATTTTCCCTTTAATTTTTTGGGATGTGAACATGCAAGTTTTGCTCTTTTGGAGAGGCAGACATAATGTTTTCTTCTTTTGAAGAATTTCACAATTGCGGGAACTTTTATCTGCCGGTGTGGGTCCACTTCAGCCTTTCTCTCCAAGCCAGCTGTGACTTCCCTCTGCCCCCCCCGAGTCCTCAGGCTGAATTTTAATTTAGCTTCTTGATGAATGACAGGAAGTTCCACCAGCAAGAAGTCCGGTTAATTAGGCTCTTGAAGTTTGGGCTAATGTTTCGCTAGACCAGGAGAGATGCCGAAGATGTTCTTAGTGCTTTCTGGAGAGACTTAATGGGTTTGTGCAATTAGCAGAATGCAGAAAATAAACTCTTCCCCCTGCGCTGCCACTTCTCCCTGACTTGTGACATTTTTCTATTCTGCTTTTCCCAAAATAATAATAATAAGAACATCAAGAAGCAATATATATTGGATTATCTAGAGAGTGCCAGTAGAGATAACACCCACCTCCCCACCCACCCCACTCCGGCATTGATGACAATCTGGTCAAATTATAATGGAAGCCTATTACATTTCCAATGCTATTTGGGATTTGTGAAAAGTCTATTAGGGCTTCTGTGTGAACTAAGGACCAGCAACAAGGCAGTCATCAAAATCCTTTCTAAAAAAATTCGGAATTTATCTATATGGCCCAAATCAAATTGTGGATGTTTTAGCGTCAACCAGAAAGTTCCAGCTAGTCGGTGGTTTAATTTAAAAAATAATCATAAAAATAATTAAATAAAGTCCGAGCAGATATTATGGTATTTGTCTTTGGCTGCCAGTAACAATTTTATATTATACTTTTCAATAAAAGTATAATAAACATTTTGCATTTTGGATTTTAACCCTATTTATGCTGTTAGAATGAATTTGAAGTTCTTGCAAAAATAAAGCCTAAACTTTAAGGCCCATTCCTGATAAGTTCACCGTTGGGAAATTTAATGGAAATTTTCTTTAATCAGAAAATTCTCGGTTCTCCAGAGCTCCTTAGATCTGCCAAAAAGTGTGGCTGATCCAATGCTCTCCGAATTGCTTTAAAATCCATGGGATGATTCTTTTCTTGGCTTCCATTTAAAATACTGACTTTATTCCCTGGATGGCAGTTATCCAAGACGCCTTCCTCCTCCTCCTTTGCCCACAACAACAATCCTGTGAGGTAAGTTGGTTGAGAGAGAGTGACTGGCCCAAAGTCACCCAGCTGGCCTCTACGGATAGGGCAGGACTCAAGTGCTCTTGCTTTCTAGTGTGCGTGCGTGTGTGTGTGCGCACACAGACACATATGTATACATACATACATACATGCATACATACATACATACATTGATTTATATATATATATTCCCTGTTAAAATTTCAGGTTGGGCATGACTGGTATTCTTCTTCAATTTCTACATCTGCCCTATAGGCCCCTTTATGTATAAATCAAGCATTCCAAAAACAATCCATAAATTTCCCCAATGTTTTATATAAAAAAGCCAAACCTTGACTTTATAAAGAAGATGAAAAGTCTATAAGATCCCTGGAGCTGAACTTTTATCAGCTCCCTCATTATATTATCTTGTATTTATATGTAAACCACTGGAAGTTTTTAAGAAGAGACTGGACAACCATTTGTCTGAAAGGGTGTAGGGTTTCCTGCCTAAGCAGGGGGTTGGACTAGAAGATCTCCAAGGTCCCTTCCAGCTCTGTCTATTCCATTCCATTCCATTCCATTCCTGTCCTGTCCTGTCCTGTCCTGTCCAATTCCTGTCCCATCCCATCCCATTCCATTCTATTGCTGTTATGGGTTCCTTGGGAATAAAACTAAGCAGATACAAATTGTGTAAAAACTCTGGTTCTTATAAGAAAAGGCATGGATTTTTCCTTATAAGTGAAGTGATGAAAGGGGCAGTAAGTGTTGGCTTTGGCTTTGAGGGGTTATCATATAAAAAGGTGAACAAGATCCACGGTCTTCAGCATAACAGGCAATGTGTTTTCAATGTGCATCAGCAAGAAGGATTAGAAAATGAAGTCGTCTTTGAATCAAGTCAAAAATGATTTAGAACATAGAATCACAGGGCCGAAAGGGACCTCAGAGGTCTTCTAGTCCAACTTCATGGACATGTCATCCACGTAGCTTCCTTGATAATGACATGGAAGCATTTATATCTTCTACATTAATTTCTGGAAAGTTTCCCAGTCTCAGTCTACAATGTGGGTAATTTATGGTGATTCCCCTTCTATGTTTTAACTAGTTTCAACCCTGCTTAGCTTTGTAAGTTCAGCCAAGTAGGTTGAAGTAGGTTGTATGAAAAGAAGTGTTAAAATGAACTTTCCTCTCGTGATCCCATAGAGCACTTGTTTTCTTTGCTAGCAACACCTTTGAGGTTAAACCCACTCACCTAGGACCAACTCTCCTTGAACCCAGCAAACCAGACCCTCTTGAATGCATGTTTGTTTGGGGATTTTCACCTAGGGTGCCCCACGCATTGCTTGACACAGAAGTTTTGTGGAAGATACAAATATATATTTGCATACCTTTGTGTTGATAACAACTGCCATCTCTTCAGTATTAAAAGCATTCACAAAGCACAACAAAATGACATGCAAGATGCTCAGATGGTTTGTAATTCAGAAAGAAAATGACTTTCTTGTTCCCACAGACAGCTAAAGTTGTCAGCTTTTCTGAAATTTTCATCTTCTTATCAAACAGAACAGAGAGCAGAAAACAGTATAAAGTCTCCTCCAAAAGTAAGCGAAAACCCCTACCACAGTTGTTTTTCACCAGAAGAGAAAAGAATTCCATGCACATTCCTTTCTTAATTTATTGGGTTTAGTACTTTGTTCAGTTCAAGGGAAAGCATTTATCTCAGTAGGAAAAAAATCGGTTGGAAGAACATAGAACATGACAGAATAACAAGAGTTGGAAGGGATCTTGGAGGTCTTCTAGTCCACTCCCCTGCTTGACCAGGAGACCCTCTACTATTCCAGACAAGTGGCTGTCCAGTCTCTTCTCAAAACCCTCCAGTGATGGAGCAGCCACAACTCTGGGAGGCAATCTATTCCCACCGGTTCATTGTTCTCACTGTCAAGAAATTTCTCCTTAGTTCTAAGTTGGCTCTCTCCTTGGTTAGTTTCCATCCATTTTTTTCCATCCAGTGAAAGAAGCAAGCAAGTAAAGAACTAGAAGTCCTTTAACTTAAGTGAATTTTCATTCACTTATTACAAACAGAAATTGGTGTGGTTAACCAATGCCAGATTAGTGTAGAAGCCAAGATGTTCACCTGAGAATTCACCCATAAGTGCACCATTTTCAGATGTCTATGGAAAAGGTAGATTTATTAGTTGGATGATTTATTCAGCTTGGACTGGGCATTGGGTGAAAAGTGCAGCTAACTCATTAACTTCTGAAGGCCCATAGGAGGTCATCTGTGGTGGGACAGAGCTGAAATCTGTCAGCCCATTTTTGTTCTTTTTGGGGGGGATGGCAGGAATGAAGGATGAAGTTCCAAAAGTACCTCAAACATCACAAAATGGGCAGTTTTGTTACATTTCAGCAGTGGAACTCAAAATGATGATGGAGAACTGTAAATTGAAGGGTGGGGTTGGAGGCCACATGTGACCTGCATCTGCCACCCACAAAGACAGCTTCCATGCAGAACTCTTCCCTCCAGTCACTGAGGTCTTCCAACCTATCAGAACTAATTCTTCCATCCTCCCACCCACCCCGCCCCGCCCCACTATCCTGTCATTACTGATGAAGCTTCTTGGATGAGAAGCGAAACATCTTCAAGGAAAAACAAAGGAAGTCCAAGCAGCTTTGGGACAACCATGACCTGGATGACTGAGAATCTCCATACACCGTTCTTCTCTTAGCAAGAAGCAAGTGGGAGTCACGCACCTTGCATGCCCTCCAGGCGAAAAGTCCTGTGCTCCACCACCCCACAGCTTCGATAAGGCCCATATCTGAGAGTCACCAGAGCATTCTTTGGCATTGCTGGGCCAGCTATAAGAAGACTCCTGAGGAATGAGGAAGCAAACTGAGGGTGGAGCTGAAACACGTCCTTCTCTGCTGCCTAGGAAGCTGTGGTGGCTTTGACATCACCCACAGTAGCCATGGCAAAGCTTGTCGTTTCCTTAGGGACGAAGTGTCACAAAGGGAAAAAAATGCTCAATTCTGTGGCGCTTCATTTTCAGGGGGAGAGAGAGAGAGATTCTGCAGAACTTCAAACTGGCACATTGGTGGGATTTTGATCACTTGGTGAAGGTGTGTAGACTTTTGTCATGCGCTCCAACTACAGTCATTTTCCTAATGATGTGGGTACTAAAAACACCTCCGCTGGATTCATAATACCATAATTTGGCTTTTAGATGAGAGGCTGGTGTGAATTCAGCCAGTCTATTCTCTGAACTGTAGCTCAGCATTGTAGTGAACCACAATAAGGTGAGTTCTTTCCCTGCAGCTTCATAGGACTGAACAGACCTTTACAAATTATTATTTATCAAATGTATTGGATGCCCATCTTATCACAGGCTAATTTCTCTGGGGATCTTACGGTTCCTCTCCAACTGCAAGAGATATGCTCTCTCCAGTCTCTTAAGGCTTATGTTAATATTGGCTGCCAAGACTGATAAGGTTAGGCAAGTAGCCCAGGATTGGGACCACAATTCTCTCCCCAGATGGGCTACAGGACCACAGCTGAGACCCCAGGAAAGAAGTGAGGTTGGAATTGGGGAAGAGGGGGGCATTTTATTTGGTCTTCTACTCCAGCATTGTGAGACATCTGGAAGGAAGTCACTTGCATCTGTTACTTGCCCCAAATCCAATATGAAATTTGGTGGCAAGTTAACCAAAATTGAAGGACTTACTGAGGATGAAAAGGGGAGCATTGGTCTTGCAGAATCTGCTTCTGTTCCCACTCTTATTTTGGGGGAGAAGGGATCCCATTCATTTAAAAGAAAGAAACCCATCACTGTGTTCTTGTAATCTGGCAATCCAGTTCCGGTCTTTCCTCCTGTGGGTTCCGCCCTCTGGACTATCCTGCTTCCTCCAGGCGAGAGCTTCATCTGCCCTTTTGGCCTTCTGAAGGGCCTTGAAGAGAGGGCTGTGCCAATTAGATTGGGACTCCAACGGTTATGGAAGTGGTTAATGGAGTGGAGAAACTCCCCCCCCCACATACCTCCTCTCCCTATGCACTTGGCTCCTTCGCTCTCCACATGGGTCAGTTTTATTTTAACTGAATTGTAAATTCCTATTTGTATTTTAAATTTCCTATTATTTCTATTTATCTAGGTGCATTCTAGAAGGCCTAAAATCATCTCCGGTGAGAAACGTGACATACAAGTTCAATAAATAAATAAATGAAATATTAGCCCATATTAGGTATGAATGAGGTACATAGAGAACTAGTGTGCAGGTCAGAGATTGCTCTCTTTGGTGGAAATGATTGATTGATTATGTGCCATCTAATTGGATGCAAACACATCAGTAGATCCCCCCCTCCCCCCCAGGAAGATCAGTGTCCAGTTTTGCTTGAAACAAGTTTGAACAAGCGAGGCTAAAACACATACTTGGTTCAGAATAAAACCCACCACCGCTGGGTTTTTTTTAAATTTTGCTTTTTATTCACTACTCCTTTGCAATTAACAATCAATGGACTCTAAATTCTTAGTGTATACAATGTGCCATGAACTTCAAAACTGACAATGGGGATGATTTGATACCTGGGAACTAACAATCTGTAGCTGATACTAACCACAGAGGCTATCGAAATACACATTTAGATTTGGCATCGATCAATACTATGTTATAAAAATAAAATATTACTAAAATATTGACTTTAATGTAGCACACAGTATAAAAAGTTGGGATATATTGTCACCTTGTTGCTACATCATAACTCTTATCAGCTCACCTGAATACAGTTCTTATAGCTAACCTGTCTAAATCCATGCAGCCATAAGAGGACCAAAACCAACTCTTTTCTTTCATCTAAAGATCATCTTCTTTTTTTAAAGCCCAGATACTCTGTTAAAAAAAAAATTAAGCAACAGATCTCTTTCCTGTGTGCTGATTCATATACTGCCCCAAATGTTAGTTTTGTATTGGATCAATGATTTTGATTGGATCATGAGAAATTGACTCATGAATGCAGTTAACCCGTCTCCTTTTTTCAGCATAAAAAAAATAGCTTTGGGATGGAAGAGCTGGATTGCAAAGGAGGGGGAAAAATAACCCTTGCTCACATACCTCACCATAAAAATTCTCCACTGGGAGGAAGAAAACAAAAATCAGAAAACTTATGGACGTCAATAAAGTGCTTGGTTTATGTGTGCGTTCAATATATATTGCATAAATATGTAAACATTTTTGCAAATGAAAAAATCGCGGCTGTGAATAGTGAGAAGAGTAAAATTCACTGATAGTTTTGATGCTTCTAGAACCCAACCTACCAAGATGCCCAATTTGGGCTTTGCTGGTGCACCCATCCAAGCTCCTTCAGAAGACTTTTTTTTATTTTTTTATTTTTTTTTTGGTATTTTGTCCTTCTGCAAGGAGCTTTGGGCAAAACTCACGGGCACTCCAATGGGACACGTTCAGTGGGTTTAATCACTAGCCCAAAATCACTTAGTTGGGTGGGTGGAATTTTGTTGATGGAAAGCTCGAATTGCTAACTGTGCTGCTGTTCTGTCTATATTGTGTCACCACCAACCTGCTAGGGATGGAGAATTTGGTAATTAGCTTCCTTTGGAAATCAAACCTTCAACTGCAAAGATCCAAGTTTTCCTTGGTTGGAACCTGCAGGCCAGATAAAGTAAGTAAAGTGTTCCTTAGAAACCAAGGGATCTGATCGTTAACCTTTAAGAAGTCAATATTTTTTACTTCATCATCTCCAACAAACCTTCAGGGCACTCATCCTGCAAGTCCACAACCAATCCCTTTTGTACATTTCCCATTAAATTAGCATAGATAGCCATGATATATACTTTTCTAAGTTGCAAAGTAAAAATGCATTTTCCTCTTTGGCTACAACTCACTTTAACTGACATGGAAACTTCCCTGAAATCCAAGCAACCACAAAGCATGCACATAAGAGAAAAATAGTGTTATCACATAATAGGACAGTTTGATGGAAGGGTGCCCAGAATATAAATTGGGTAAGTTTTGCATAACAATGCATGGACAAGCATTTTGTCCAAGAGACGTTGCTTTATCCAGTACACTGGACTGAAACAGGACTTCAGCCGATACTTTATCAAATTTCTCAAAATATCCCTGAATCTTCAGTTTTAATCTGAAAGCATGCTTGTTTCTAGAATCTATGAGTACAGAACATTTATCTGCTGCTTCATTTATTTCTAGGAATTAACATGAGTTGCTGGGAAAGGTTCAAGAAAAGGTCTTATATTATGCAGGACAAAGATTGAATTGTTTCACTGCATTAACCATTTCATGCAAACCAGATAATAGATCACCCATTTCTCAGAAGAATTTCTAGACAGATGGGTCTAATGGTGGGGAGAAGAAAGGAACAGCCATTGAGGAAAAAACAAATGTATATGTAAACAGATACAGCCAAGAAGAGAGAGGACTTATGTTATTCTTTTTTAACCTGGCATTTTTCAAGTATGCTGAGTTAGCTTTGGACAGATCCCACCACAAATTTTGTTTCCATTTATGGGCACTACATTTTAAGAAGACACAGAGAAAGTAGATTTGGTTTAGACAGAGGCAACCAGAAAAAGGAAGAGCCTAAAAATAGTCCTATGAACAAAGATGGTAGGAGATGAGCACCTTTAGTCTTGAGAAGACTGAGTGGTGAAATGGTGGCCATCTCAAAAGACTTGAAAAGGAGAGTCAAAAAGGTGCTCTCTGGACCGGAAAAAAAAATGGCAAGAAGGCAGATGCTGATTGAATGTTAGGGGTAAATAACCCTAACAGGAAAACAAGTTGACAGTGTGGAACCAATGACCCAAGTTGGATATTGGACTCCTTTTGTGGGATATTTTCGAACAGAGGCTGTCTGTTTCAATTTGAGGAATGGGCCAGTGGGATGGAACATAGTCTAGAGTCAGAGGAAAGAGAGGTTCCTGCTCAGTGGGCAAAGAAACAGCACAGCTTGGAATATCTGGGAGGCAGGAAGTGGGCTAAAACAGTTCCTCCCTATCCATTCACAAACTATGTATCTGAAGATTGCCAGATCTTTTATCTGGCAAGATTCTGTCTGTAAATGAACAACAATAAACTACTCTTGACATAACTCTACATGTCCTTCTTGATTCTCTGGGCCTGACAGCCAGGATTGGATTCTGCATCTAGAAATATGAATCTCTGATTCCATCATTCTATGACTGCAGTTCCAAGAGCTAGGAATTTGAAGAGTAGTGAGTTGGGCAATCTGCCTCACTAAAAGCCAGGACATTGATGTAGTTCATAATACTGTAATTATTTCAGTACAGTTCACACTGGCAGACTGGATTATCAGAAAGACATCTCCCTAGTCATTGCCAGAGATGTCAAGTATTGAACTACAGTTATAGACGGCATGCAAAGGAAGCCTTCAACATCTGTTAAACTCTGATCCTTCCAAGAAATACCATTGTCCTGGCACATAAATTTCCCATCTGCCTCAGGCTGCCTCACAGGCCATTCTGGAACAGCCTGATGGTAACACTTGGATCTCTTGCAGTGGCTGGAGTTGAAACCACAACTCTTGCGGGTTCACATCTTTTTCTTGTGCTCCTCCATTGTGCCCTGATGATCTTCCCTACCCTGGTAATGAAGCATCTTGTAAGAAGACAAGCTCAATGAACACTAGGAATTCAACAATTCAACCCTGAGCCACATACATGTCACATCTTTTTTTTCCTAATGAAACAATTAAAACATGCAACACTTATTACAACTTCCCGGAAGAGAATGTGATACAAGTACAATAACAGGTAAAGCATTTGAGCTGGTAATTGTAGAGGGCATCAGGAATGGGGTTGAAGGACAAGAGGAATAGCTACTCCTAAGGCAACGGTCAGTGGGGCCTGAGCCCGGCCGGGCCAAAAGAATAATCTGAGAAAACATCACAGACAAGCCCACTCAAGTTCACAGGAAGGTAAAGTGAGGGAGGAGAGAAGCACATTCAGCCTTGCAATATTCTGTTATTAGAGCCATTGCAATGAAGGCAGTCCTGATGGATATGGCATCAGCTTCTTAGCCTGCCTCACCTTTTAGGGACACAGTAATTAATTAATTCAGGATTCAAAATGGCCTTTAAAAATTGAAGAGAAGGAAAATACCTTACAATCTTCATTGGCTTCTAACCCAATCTTCTCCAGAAGATTTGACTGTGCTCTTGTGAAAGATAATTCCTATAGTAGGTTTTTTGAAATATCTACCTGACCTTCAGCATCATCCATGGTGCTCTTTGGTTTCTCTCGAGACCAAGACCACATGGACCAATTGCTCCGGAGGACAAAAAGAGGGCAGAGTCTTTCCAGGCCAGCAGGTTCAATCAGAGCAAACTCTTTCAAAAAGTTTTGATATATCCATCCTTAAAATGAGAGATAAGCATCTCTTTCTAGGAGCCTTGCTCTTAAAATTGGGAATATTTTTAATTAATGTGGTTAGCACAATATCATTTCTTAGGTCCTGCTGTATTTTCTTAAAAAAATGTTTGCATTGGCTTCATCACTGTGGCTCTTTGTATCCTGCTTAGACTGAAGCAGTTTATATACTTCATAAATGGATAAATTATAGAGAGTTGGAACTCTCACGCATGGGATATATTGCACGTTCACAGCAGCTATTTCTAAAATACTAGCATTAACTGCTTATTTCACATTGAGATGAATTGCATGTAATTTCGTTCTTTGGGTCAAACATTATTCACACATTTGCTCTGTGCAGCACTGAAATGTCAGCTTTCTCGATAATTTAAGCTCTCGTCATGATAAATAGGGCTAGGAATACTCGCTTAAAGAAAAATAAAGTTCTCCTGCCTCCAATAAATAGCTGGCATTTTCACAGAAACATCACTCCACATTAAGAAGATTTTGCAGAGAGGAGGAAGGAAAAGACTACGACACGCATGGCATTAGGGTTTGGCAACTGGAGGACATCCGTCCAGTTTAGCCTGCCGGCTTGTCGAGGTCAAACTGGATTCGCTACAGAGCTCTTTCAAGTCCATTAGACTTTCACTTATGGCTTTGACAAATTGGCTGGAAGAGGTCTCGCGACAGTTTTTGAAGCTTGAAATGCAGAATAAGATGTGCTGGGACTGTGGATTGTAGCAAGCCCCATAGCCTTGAGGAATCACCGGCCCGTAACAGCAGAACATCTCCATTGTGGTAGGAACCTAATTTTAAGAATAACAAAACAGGGTTAAGTTAAGATGGCCAACTTAAGGCCTCACGCCCACCACTATGGAGCTCAAGAGATGCACCGACAATGAGCTGGTTTGGGGATTGTCATTTTGACAGTGAAAGAAGAAGGAAATGACTAAACCCATTCAAGATCATCATCTTCAATTCATAGAACATATTTTTAAATATCAATTGAGCTCCAAGCCAGAGACCAGACATGGTACTTGGATTGAATTATTTATTATTATTTGACCCATTCAAAACCACAAAACTGCATCTCATTTACTTTGGGGGATTCACTAGAGAAAGCAATTATGTTTGGAAGAGTTAGCGGTAAAAGGAAACCAGGCTGCCAAAGAACATGGTGCCTGGACACCATCAAAGTTGACAAAACCAGAGCATAGAACAACTCAAAGTAGTGCAAGATGGGAAGATATGGAGAGAGCTGGTCCACAGAATCATCATGAGTCAGACACGACTGAAGGGCTAACTTCAGCAGCATCATTTGATGATGTTAATGTGACATTATCCCTTGAAGTTATCAAGGGATAATGTCATCATCGTAATTCATCATCATGAGTGCAGAGAAGAACAACAAAAATGATTGGGGGGCTGGAGGCTAAAATGTAAGAAGAATTGGTTACAGGAATTGGCTATGTCTAGTTTATTGAAAAGAAGGACTAGGGGTGTACCAATATTTGAGGGGCTCCTAGAAAGTGTACCAATGATAGTGTACCAAGATGGGGGGGGATGTCAAACTATTTTCCAAAGCACCCAAAGGCAAGACAAGAAACAATGGATGGAAACTAACCAAGGAGAGAGGTAACCTCGAACTAAGGAGAAATTCCCTAACGGTGAGAGCAATCAACCAATGGAACAGCTTGCCTTCAGAAATTGTGGGTGCTCCATCACTGGAGGCTTTCAAAAGAGACTGGACAACCATTTATCTGAAATGGTCTAGGGCAGTGATGGCGAACCTTTTTGGCACCAAGTGCCAAAAAAGTCATGCTGAAACGTTGCACACACGCACACACGCTCTTCACGATCACACTTTGGAAAAGCCGAACTTCTGGGTTCTAGCGCACACGCGTGCCCGATGATCAGCCGGCCGGCGTACATGCGCAGGCTGGTTTTCGGCACTGCCGCGTGCACGAAGGGATCGCACACTGGAAAAGCCAAACTTCTGGGTTCTGGGGCGTTTGCACACCCCGCAATCAGCTGGCAGTTTTTGGCACTGCCATGCGTGCGAAGGACAACTTTGTGCTTGCCTGCATGGCAGAAACCCGGAAGACAAACAGGCAAGGCTGCGCATGCCAGTCGACATGGCTTCACGTGCCACTATAGGTTCACCATCACGGGTGTAGGTTCACCTGCTCGAACAGGGGGTTGAACTAGAAGACCTCCGAGGTCCCTTCCAACTCTATTATTCTATGTTCTGTGTGACCTCTTCACTGGTTCCACCAATGCCAAGTTTGGGAATTATTTCAGGAACTTCTTAGGAGATGCTTTTGGTTTGGAAAACAAAAGCTACGAGTCCCGTTTCCTTGATCCTAATCCACTTTGAATGATGATGATTGGGTGGATGGACAACCAAGCTGGCCATGCTTGTTCTTTTAATTGGATCATTTTATTATATATCTTCTGCAGTCTACAGCTTTGTCAATTTAATCCAAAAGTAATCAGATTTTTGAGCACACCCTCTGCGAGTTCAGGAGAACCCATTAGTCTTGAAATAACGTTATTCCTTTGCTTGTCAGTTCTCTTTCATTGGCAACCTACTAATATGAAAGATAGCCATCTTCCCCTTAACGTCTTAACAGGGAGCAGTTACGGAGTATACATTTAAGAGTTGGGCTTATTCAAATCTCAGAGATTTATTATCTTGAAAAAGCCTCGGAGGCAGTAAATTTTGCAAGAAGCTATTTCTTAGGGACAGAGTCCTACGTTTGTCATTCTTTCCCCCCCCCCCAGTTTGTTTCGAGTTTCATTATTGTTGTGGAATGCAAACCTTTCTTTAAAAGCAAAATGCTGGAGGTTAAGAAATCCTTATGCTCTTGCCTTTGTTGTGGACAGGCTTTCAAAAGTGGCATTTAGCTTTTAATGGCACCGGACAGGCCATTAGTCCCGCTAACGAAGTTATAGAAGAAGCAGATAAATTTGCTGTACCCCAGCCAAAGGCCATCAAGCTATTCAAATTCCTCCCTCCCCCCACCTCTTTTTTTTAAATCCATGGATGGTTTCTTGGAGAATTAATGTAAGGATGGCTGGCTTACGCACAGTCACATCTGAAAAAAACCTCCAGACAGCATGATGAGATCGAATGACTTATTAGATTCCTTGTCTACACTGTGCATTAGAAGCTTCCCTCTGACCATTTTTTGAGAGGCAAAAAAAAAAAAAAATGTCTGACCTTCTGTCTCTCACGCAGAAGGTGAATCCAGTGGTTGTTACCATAGTCTGGTAGGCTAAGACTGTGTTTGCACAGAAATCAGGGGTGAAATCCAGCAGATTCTGACAGGTTATGGAGAACCGGTAGCGGAAATTTTGAGTAGTTCGGAGACCGGCAAATACCACCTCTGGCTGGCCCCAGAGTGGGGTGGGAATGGGGATTTTGCAGTATCCTTCCCCTGCCATGCCCACCAAGCCACGCCCACAGAACCGGTAGTAAAAAGTTTTCAATTTCAGCACTGACGGAAATGTGTTACGTTCACAGGGTGAGCAGCTCAAAGAATCCACAAACGAAATGGTCTTGACTTGAGGAGCAAAGGGAGAGAGAACAGTTTGGATCTTCATGCTCGGCAGGTCTTTGCAAGGGACACTTCAAATGCTTGAAACCAGCCCTGTGAGCGAAGGATGAAAGACGCCAGCCGTCCCTGTAATCCACTTCAATAAGAATGCCTAACCTGGAGCCTCATCTGAGAGAACACTGGGGTGGAGTGGGGGTGCTTAGAGCACCTCCCCTGCCATAACATTAAGTTGTTGTTTTTTTTTAAATTGAGAGAAAGAGAATTCTTAAATACCTGGCATTATTTAGTTATTTTATTTTTTATTAAATTACATGTATCCCGCCTCTATTATTTTTACAAATATCTCAAAGTGGCAAACACATCTGATACACCTGCTTTCTCGTCCTATTTTCTCCACAACACCAATGAACCCGAGAGGTGAGTTGACTTTCATGCCTAAGGTGAAACTAGAACTCGCCACCTCCTGGTGATTGGCTCAGTCACCCGGCCGGCTTTCATGGCTAAGGCAGCATCCGAACTCATGGACTCCCAGTTTCTAGCCTAGTGTCTTAATCACTAGACCAAACTCACCTTCATATTAAGGATATTGAATCAATTAATTTTAAATTACTTTTAATTAAATATATTTATAAGTTCTGTTCAGTTTGGTTCTTTTCTCAGCTCTTCCCACTGTTCTGCCTGCTTGGCATATTGCTTAAAGATTAAGCACAACCCTTTGACAAAATAATATTTCATATTTCTGGTTATATTCTGCCCTTGAAGTGATGTCCCGGTGCCTGGAGGCTGTACGGATCTGGATGGGGAGAAACAGACTCAGGCTCAACCCATCCAAGACCGAGTGGCTGTGGTTTCTGACATCCCGAAATAGTCAGTGGGTGCCATCACTGACTATTGGAGATGAGTCGTTGGCCCCCATGGAGAGGGCTTGCAACTTGGGTGTCCTCCTGGACTCACAGCTGTCTTTAGAAGAGCATATGACGGCTGTGGCCGGGAGGGTATTTTATCAGGGTCGCCTGATCCGCCAGTTGCGTCCCTTTCTGGATCGGGACTTGTTAAGTACGGTTACTCATGCTCTCGTCACTTCCCACCTGGACTACTGCAATGCTCTCTACATGGGGCTCCCCTTGAGGAGCACCCGGAGGCTCCAGCTGGTCCAGAATGTGGCCGCGCGGGTGGTGACGGGAGCAACGTGGCGCTCCCATGTAACACCTCTCCTGCGCGAGCTGCACTGGCTCCCGGTGGTCTTCCAAGTGCGCTTCAAGGTTCTGGTTATCACCTTCAAAGCGCTCCATGGCTTAGGACCAGGGTACTTACGAGACCGCCTTTTGCCACCAGTAGCCTCCCACCGACCAGTACGCTCCCATAGAGAGGGGCTTCTCAGGTGCCATTGGTCAAACAGTGTTGACTGGCAGCCCCCAGGGGGAGAGCCTTCTCTGTGGGGACACCTGCCATCTGGAACGAGCTCCTCCCGGAGATACGGAGGATCCCGGATCTGCGCACTTTCCGCCGTACCCTCAAAACATTCTTATTCCAGCAGGCTGGTCTGGCCTAACTTCCCTTTTAAATTGCTTTTTAAATTTGTCTTATAAATTGGGGTGTTTTAAATTTGTTTTGGGCCAAAGTATTTAATGTATTTTAAATGGTTTTTTAACGTTTGTACTATGTGTATTTTATCTTTTGGCTGTTCACCGCCCTGAGTCCTTCGGGAGTAGGGCGGTATATAAATTTAATTAATTAATTAATATAATAATAATAATAATAATAATAATAATAATAATAATAATAATTTGCTTGAACATTTCTCAATCAGCTTTGATCCACTTTTTGGGGAAGAGAACATTGATTTACTTAAATTAGAATTTACCCTTTGTTTAATGTACCCATGTTTATTGCCCAAACAGACAGCCACTGGCTGTTCATTTCTCCTGTCAAAAGCCCAAGAAGTGGAAACTCAGAACATTTTAAAGGGTTGTTGAGCATCAGAAAGTCTTTACCGGCTTCATCTCAAGTTGTCACTGATTCATAAGGACTGTCACGGTGAGAATAATGGAGATTCCTTCCTCTGATTAATCCCAGGAAAATTTCACTCACCTGGCTGGTGGAGAGAACAAATCGATTGCTTGCCAAATACGTTTCATCAGTAAAGAAGTCTGGCAGTTCTTCGAAGTTTTCTCGGGCCATCTCTCGCAGTCCCAATAGATGGTTGTCGATAGCCATGCCTGTGATAGCCTGTGCCCCAAACAGGAGAAAGGAGGCATAATCGATCACTGCAGCAAGATGCCAGCCTATCAATTTCTACTTTGGGATTTAACACGAAACCATTTCCATCTTAAGAAAACAGAATAACAGAGTTGGAAGAGAGGTCTTCTAGTCCAACCCGCTGCTCAGGCAGGAAATCCTATACACCATTTCAGACAAATGGTTGACTAATTCCTTCTTAAAAACTTCCAGTGATGGAGCACCCACAACTTCTGGAGGCAAGTCATTCCATGGTTGATTGAAAGACTGCTATGATGTCAGCCCAGGCCTCCTTTTCATTAAACTAGACATAGCCAATTTGTGCAACTGTTCTTCATATGTTTTAGCCTCCAGTCCCCTAATCATCTTTGTGGCCCTTCATTTTTACTCAGTGGATACTGTGGCAATGTTCAGCTTGATATTGGCACTTCTTTAGAAGTGGAAAATCAAGAAGGACACAATCCTAGCCTTGCTGTTTGAAGGAACTCTACTGAACTCAATGGGATAAAAAGTAAAGAGGAGAGAAGATGACCTTGACAGAGATAAGCAGGATTGGTTGATTTGGCAAAAGAGGACGAAGTTTTCTTTAAAAGTCCCGAACAATGAATTAACATTCAGAAAATGGTTCACGTACAATCAGAGTTGCAAAATTTTGTTATCAGAATCAATCTGAACCAAACAAAATGCTAATCATCCTATAGATTTGATTTCCTGGTCTGATCTACCTAATGGGGCTGACAGATACATCTCAGCATTTCTACAAAAAAGAAACTCCTGGATTGGACTGAACCAGTCAAAAATCTTACTTGTTCACCACTGCTGTTTCCTGGATTTGCTATTGTTCTTATTTTATCCTATATTTTTAATGCTTTATGTAAATTTGTATGATTAATCTTGTTGTACCTCCCTACTAGGATTTTGATCATTTTTATCATAAAAGTAAAATGTGCTTAATAAATTTATAGGATGGTAATATCAGTAGTGGTTTCCATTTACCTTCGCTACCGGTTCAGAACTGTGAGCACGCATGGCGCTTCTGCGCATGTGCAGAGTGTCCGTGATGACGTGTGGGTGAGTGGGCGGAGCCTCCCACCACTGCCACTACCGGTTCGCCCCAGTTCGGGTGAACCAGTAGAAACCCACCTCTGGGTGATATTAAACTACTGTCATTAATGTTTACAATAGTGTGTCTAGAAACTTTGCAATGCTGTGTAAATTGTATATTGACTTAGGGCAATTTTTCCCAGACTGCATATTATCTTTATGGGCATAATATGGGGTTCTTTAATTAAAAGATTAAAATTTTCTGCCCAATTTTTTTTTTAAAAAAAAAAACAGATTCTCACTGCTACAACCAGTGGGTTGTCTCCGGTTCGCACCGGTTCTATAGAACTAGTAGTAAAACTGGTGGGAGGCTCCGCCCACTGACCCTGACATCATCAAAATGCTTCTGCGCGTGCCCCGTTGCGAACTGGTAGTAAAGGTAAGTAGAACCCACCCCTGGCTACAACCTAACCATTTCATTCATTCTTCAAAGCTTTGGTTAAACAAATTATTATTATTATTATTATTATTATTATTATTATTATTATTATTATTATTATTATTATTATTATTATTATTATTATTATTTAATTAATTTAAATACTCCAAGCAAAGAATAAAGAACTGTCCATGGATCTTTAGCAAAGCAAGAAACCAATGTTGGCCTGTCTGACATCAGAATGAGTGTGAGGAAAGGTGATCAAACTGAGGTTACCATGGTTTCCTCCCATCAGAAGAAATGGATTGGAGGATCAATGAAAATGTTTTCCTATCTAGTGTGATTTATAAGGCTATAAGCACTGACATCCTTCCAAGGTAGATTAATGAAGAGAAAGAGGCCGCTGTGTCCTAACACAATAAAGGAGGTGCCAACACATTCTTCACAAGTGTGTGTGTGGGGGGGGGGAGGAAGAGGGAGAGAAACCTACATTATTTTTGCTAAGGGTACAAAGTTTAATATATCACAATCATTTGCTAAGCAAAGAATAATTAAACTATCTAGGCTATCTAGGCTACATCTGGAAGAATTGTTTCTGGAACAAAGATTGTGAAGGAAAGATCTTAAGAACTTTGGAAGAGTCATGCTGGATTTGGCTCTAGATCCAATTAATGCAGCTTTCACTTGGGAAACAGATGGGGTGGAGATTCTACACGCCAGGAGCTGCTGCTAACTGTGAAGGAATGATGGCCAGATCTTGGGCACATGGAAAATGGAGCCACGCCATGTCAGAACAACACAGCCCTAACAGAGGGATAGAATCAAGATCACACAATGCCTTGGCAAGACCACATTTGGGATATTGCATCCAGTTTTGATCACCATGATATAAAAAATAGGTTGAGAGCAGTGGCGAAATGTAAAATTTGTTACTGCCAGTTCTGTGGGTGTGGCTTGGTGGGGGGATAATGTGATTGGGTGGGCGTGGCCAACTTTTTTTTTTACTTTTAAAAGCATTTTTTCTACAACCAAGAGGTTGTAGAAAAAATGCTTTTAAAAGTAAAAAAAAAAAAAGCCTCTGATGATCGTGCGGCTCAGCTGGGCATGGTGGGGGGACGCGCAGGGATTTTTGCTACCAGTACTTCGAACCACCTGCCACCATCGCTACCGGATCAGGCAATCCGGTCCAAACCGGGAGCATTTCACCCCTGGTGGAGAGTCTAGAAAGAGTGCAGAGAGGAGCGAAGATAATTAGGGTACTGGAGGCTAAAACATATGAAGAACAGTTGCAAGAATTGGGTGTGTCTAAGGATTGGGGGGGGAACATGATCATAGTGTTCCAATATCTGAGGGGCTGCCACAAAGAAGAGGGAGTCAAGCTATTCTCCAAAGCACCCAAAGCCAGGGCAAGAAGAAACAGATAGAAACACTGAAGACGATATTAGGATTTTAAGTAAGGCTACCTGATCTGGGATGCAAAAATCTCAATGGCCATTAGATGGCAGCACTGAAGTGTATCTTTGCTACCCTCTAGTGGCTGCATAGTTGAGTAGCAAGCAAGGAATTGCACATTAAAAAGCACATGAATGGATTTGAAAGCAATTTTACCTATGTAACTCATTCTGTAGGTACCTTTCTTGAAACATTTAAAACACAACAAATTTTATACCAGACATAAAGTTGAAAATAAACAAAAATATTTTATTTCAGCCTCTGATTTCTGGAAAGTGAAGTACTTGTATTTCATAGTTATCACCATCATTAGGATAGTTGGTTTTTTTTTTTTTTTTTTTTTTAGCAATGAACTATTTTTTTCATATAGTAGATGCTTACCAAAATAGTGTAATTGGTCTGAGCGGTTATTGCACTCTTAAATAGCTGCATTTTTTCAGAATTCTGTAGATAAAACAGAACACAGGGATTTTCAAATGTATATATCCACATGGGCAATCCCATTACTTTTAATGCAGTGATTAATTCCTTTAGTACAGATGCATTAGGAAGCCTGCCCTGGGAGTAGAACTGATCCTAAACTAGAATCCAAGTTTGAACAACATCTGCCCCTTTATTTCAAACGCTGCAATACTTGGGTTAAAACATCGTACCAAAATCAGTTTGAAAATGCACAGTTAAGCTTCAGTCTTCAAGAGAAAAATAGAGGAAAAGACTGGAATGCTGAGTACAGAAGCTGATGGAGTTGGCAGAGATGGCTAAATTGACCATTTGGTTCAAAGAATGAGCCCTGATGGCGCAGCAGACTAAAGCACTGTTATTAACTGTTATTAACATCAGCTGTCTGCAATTACTGCAAGTTCAAATCTCCCCAGGCTCAAGGTTGACTCAGCCTTCCATCCTTTCTAAGGTAGGTAAAATGAGGACCCGGTTTGTGGGGGCAATAAGCTGACTTTGTATAAATATACAAAAGGATGAAGGCTATTGCTTAACGCATTGTAAGCCACCCTGAGTCTTCGGAGAAGGGCGGCATATAAATCAAATTTAAAAAAAAAAGAAAGGATTATATGTACTTTGGTTTCTACTTGGAAGCCACTTCTGGACTTTGTGCTTGAGGTGGAAAAAAATGAAACTTTGATTTTGGGTTTTACCAGTTAGATTGATTTGTCATTAGAGAAATGGCTAGTTTATATTATGGGAAAGTAAAAAGTTGAGGTTTGATGTTAATGCTTTATTCTACTGCAACAGAGAGAGTCGGAAGTTAATACCTTTTTTTACCCTTCGTCACTTCTCTTTTCTCCTTCCCCTCCCTCTGTGTCCTACTATTTGCTTTTGTATTTTATTATGTAAACTAATAAATGTTAAAATACTGGAATGCTGAGTAGTTACATGTCCATCTTTGGGTTCTGTAGATGTTGATTTCTCCTTGTGTTATAGCATGGAGAAAGAACATATACAAATCCAGAGATAGGCTGTTACGTCCAACCGGAGATATGGCTGACTTCCCCAACATGGCACTCCCCAAATCTGATGGATTACAACTCTTAACATCTCCACTCAATATATCTGAAAGGTTCCCCAGAAGCCATGAAGATTACAGGAGGTTCAATATAACTGAAGCCAGCACAATGAACACGGTTTTAATAGTAACAAACCAATCATTAAATGCTTCAGTGGCTGAAGAATTAGCTTGGTGTGATCAGCAAAAGAGTAGCTCACTGCATGCAGGAGCTTTTTAAAGCAGCTACAACTTGCAGGCCTGCTCTCCTCAGCTGCTATGAGAACCCAGGGATACTTAAATACAGGTGCTTTAAAGAGTTCAAGCTGGTGCTATTTGTTTTCTCATTTGCTTTGAAGCACCTGCTGAAAACCAAGACTAAACAATGCCCAATTCTACTGATTCCGCAAGTGCATTATAGTTATCCCTTAAGGTGAGTTGTTACAGCGTCATTTGCACTTACTAAATGGATATAGCTTAGCATAGGATTATTTTTAACTCCCCATCACTGGACATTTACCAAGGATTACTCGCCACCAAAGTATTCATTGTAAAATCCAGTATTTCTTCTCTTTCTTGCTCTTCCTGTCTATACACCTGTCCTTTCTGGACAAGCAAAGAAGTAAAGCATCCCCCAACCTATCTACCTCAAACCATTTATAGAGTAAGAGAATTGATCATCTCCAACAGTAGAAGATTTGACTTCTTAGCTGTCTTGGGTACTTGATCACAGGAAAGACAGGAATAGAAATGGAATGCATATATAAACCCGAAACATAAGCCAAGGAGTCAGAGACCTGGAGAGCTGATTTCTTATCTACCATTCCTTTTGCAAACGTTAATGCTTCAGGAGTGGCGGAGCGGATGTTGTCTACCCTCCCGCATTCATAGCGACGAAGAGAAGCACTTTCATAGGTGGGAACCAGCCTCATGTTCAACCTACAGTGAAACAACAATAGAATCCTGATTGGAGCGTCTCCTTATTATAGAAGCTCTAAACAGCTAGAAGAAAACAGTAGCATCCTGATCCAGGTGTATATTTTACTATTGTGTTTTCCGTTGGGTTTAAGACTTCATTTTTAACTATGGGAAGAATCTAATGACCACCTGGAATTTTGGGCCTCAGTTATCACAACTCTGTTCTAGATTACTTTGTGATTAAAAAGTGGTGGAATCCTTAGTGGAGTGTAAAGGCTTATCCTACAGAATATGGTTTAATTGATTTGGATTTGGGATGTCCGTTCCTCTCTACAAGTGACTCTGGGTGGCAAGCAAACTTACAATTAATCAAAAACAAATTCTCATCAGAGATACAAAAATTAAGAAGCCCAACATCTAAGGAAATGTCTTGTTACATCTAGACAGAATATCTAGTTCTGTCTAGACTGTGTGTGTGGAATGGCTGGCCGTGTGCCCCCTTTTGCAATTGTGAATTCTTTCTTTAGATGGCAGCATCTAGTTAACCTTTGGTTGAACTGGAAAAGCTAGGCGGGATCAGTCCTAGTTAGTATTTGGATGACTGTTCCCTAAAAAGAAAATTGTAGGATGACAGCCTATATGGAAAATGAAAAGCAAAAAGCACTTGAAATGTATCTCTGTTACCAGGAAAATTACAGAGAGGGCTATGAAGATTGTAGGAACTGAGCTGAAGTCAAAAGTCATCCTTTTCCAGATTCTGAATTTGTGTCAAGAGTTCTGGAGTCAGCGTGTAAGTGGTGGAATTTGTGTGGCTACAGCATCGTCAAATGTCATCTCATGGCATAGTCACAGGGTTTACAGAGCTCTATAAAGTGGCTCTTCCCAAAAAGATTCCTAGGATCAGCTTATACTTTGGTTGGATCCTGGAAATGTTGTATCGTTTTCTTCGGTTCCTTCTCACCACAGTGCTGAACACCTTGAGTGTGAGATGGAAAAATAATCATTTAACTTATCTCCACAATATCCAGAAGACAATCTAGACTGGGAAGGATTTGTTTACTTGTTTCTGTATGGGAGGATAGTTCAACCATCCCTCTTGGTACCCCATGTGGGAAGACACAGTAGAAATACCTTGAATTTTCAGACAACAGGTCAGAGAAGAAACGAACATCTCAGGATCTTCTCCATAACTCTATACCTGAAGGTGCAGAAGATTGGTGGCCTGCTCTGAACTTTCTCTTTCCAGGCAGAGAACCTTTGAACAGCCTGGACTTTTGACCACAAAGTAGATAGCAGGCTATCCTGGTAGCAGTCTTCTTTATCATTCATTGGATTCTAATCTGCTTTCATTGTGTTCTTTATCAATAAACACAACTCCATCCTCCGAGCCACGTGTGGACACCAGTTCTAAGGTCCCTGTTCTCCCTGGGATTTAGAATGCTGTTTAGTTCAAGGCTGTCAGTTCCATGCCCATCCCAGCTGCTCACTCCTATGTAACGTGTAGCTTTGCCAAAACCATTTGTATTAAGGGCAGCTATAGAGAAAGCCGCAGGTGATTTACAGACTAATGGAGACAAAGGCACAGCAGGCAATTTGGCCTGGACTGAAATCTGTGCGGTCAACATATTTCCTTCACATACCGGTAAAAGGCCAACTGGAGTGCTACTTGGATGTAGGCATCTGGACTCATCTTCTGTTTTTTGATAAATTCTTTCCCATAGTTTTCAAACTTATAAGCGACAAAATCCAGATTCTTCACCAGTCTAGAAAAGGAGAAGAGGCATAAAAGTGAGAAGTTCTCATCATCTTTTTTAAAAAATAAAAATGCTTCTCCTGACAAGCTGCCCAAAGCATTGGCAGCATTGTGTCCATAAAAAACTTGAAATTCAGGCATTAAACTCAGTCCCCAGACATCCAATGGATTGTTTAGTGCAGTTGAAGAAGCTATACATTTCCTCTGAGCACTGGAATAAGCAGTTCAGGAGAAGCAGGTTCACAATCAGAAGCACAAGCCTATGCAAAGCGCTAAGGCTTGAATTCAAATGAGCTGCTCTAGTATTCAAATTAGTTCCTTCTACTCCCGTGGGCAGTGTTCGCTCTCGACTCTCGAGCTCTCGACTTATTCCTCAGACTAATTAGAGAACAGCTTGTGCACCCACAAAGGGTAAAAGTTTACATAAAATGCAAAAACTAAGCTCTCTTCTTTGGAGTTATTATTAATGCCATAGGAACACACTGACAATAATACACAGGACGTCCCCCTGGTGAAGGACGGGGCCGAATCCTGCAGGGGTGTCAGCCCTGCTCCTTTGCATGGATGTTTTTCCAGATATTTATATATTTAACAGAGCTTTCTGAGGGACATTTGACTTACTTCAAAGGTTGTGCACAGCCCTGGCATTTAATACATTTCTTTGCTATTTTTCAAGGCTGGGATTTTTCCCAAGGTGCTTGTAATGCAAAAGCAAAATAGGAATAGTAAAATAAGCAAACGGGAAAAACAAACAAACACATAACTGAAATATCCAACAGCATAAAAGAGTTTTTCCTCTTCAGTCCTTTTAGTGACAAGCCAGAGAGAACAGATGTTTTAAATGGAGAAACTACTGATTTAAACCATGGTGCTGCCTGAGGAAGCGGATTTGTGATGAGACGTCACCACCATTTTTCCTATAGTGCCTATCTTACATTTGCTAATACAGAGTTACAAAATATAGAATTATGACTAAGAAAAGGAAGGAAGGAAGGAAGGAAGGAAGGAAGGAAGGAAGGAAGGAAGGAAGGAAGGAGGAAGGAAACAGGGGAAGGGATGAGAGAAAGGCAGGCAGGCAGGCAGGATATCCTTAATCATATATAACATGTTTTTTTTTTGCGCTTTCTTCCACCAGCAACAACTCTGCTGTTTGCTCTTTACTCCACCAGTATCTGCCCCCCAATCAGTTCATGAACCCACTGCCTATTGATTGTGCTCCTCAGATTAATCCTTGAAAACCTGCAGCCCTAATATCTCTGCATGAAGTTGAACCTCCTCGGGAACTCCTTGTACCTTTCCAGTTTTTCTGCAGAAGAAGCCAAGTGATTCTGAATTTCCGGAGAACATTTCCACCGTAGCCTCCTTGGAGCGGGGAGCTCACTCACTGAGTCTGCTCTGACCAGTTTCTTTGCTCCTTCTTTCCTGTTCGTAGAGAAGTAGAGGAGTCCAATGGTTGGTTGGGTGATTCATTAGTTTTGTGACCTGCCCTTCTGAGTCAGCTCAGGGAAAGTCTCTCTTAGATGCCTGCCCTGCTCCATATATGATTGCTTCCAAGTCAGAACTAGTTTTAGCTACAGTTGAAAATCAGAGTTTGACAAATTACAGGAAATGTTTTTTTTCTGTCTGAAATAAGAGGTTGAGCTTAGCTCTTGGTGTCTGTGAAATGAATAATGTTACTCTTTTATAAAAGTGTTTAATGTATTAAAAAGCTATGATGTTCTTACTGTTGCAAACTGACTACAAATTGTAATTAGAGAGAATGTGTTAAGACTTGCTAAAAGCTCTCTTGGAGACAGGAACCTAGGCAAGACCACTATCAGTAAGATAGGAACATCCGCTCAAGGTGAAAATTAAAAGTAAATATGATAAGATAATTGTTTTTAGGCAGGAAATGACAAGATGAGCCTTTAAAGTGTAAAACAACTTGGAGAATGATTAAGGAGAATAAAGGGGAGTTGGGAGGGATTCTTAGGCGTGGTGTGCATTGGGTAGGAGTATAAAATGAGTCGCTTGAAAACTGCTTCTTGCGCTCTTTGAACTCAATCCCATTTGAGAACGATTGAGGCCGCGCTTGCAACTGCTTTTTATTTTTCTTCATTTTATCTCCAATAAACCTTTGATTTTGTGAACCAGACGTTTATGAATTGTGAGGATTAAAATATTTGGGTCTTATATCTCATAAACTTGGCGCCCAATGTGGGGCTCGAGGGGGGGGGGGGCTTTTCTCAGTAAATTCTGGGGCGCGCCTGTTGATTTCAACTGCCTAGAGTTATCTGAGACCTAGCTTCCCATTGCGGGCTCCGAGCCAAACTAAATCAACAACTCTGGTCTACAAAATCAAAGAAAAGAAAAAGAGAGAGAGAGAGAGTCAACGACTGAGGCCCAGGACCAGGTAACCTGGTGCACTGGCCCAGGTAAGAAACTTTTGGACCGAAGGAGGGAAACACGCAATTGTACCTGGTTGGTCAGGAGAGTGATTGTGAGAGGTTCTGTGATAACGGCAGTGTGTGTGTGTGTGTGTGTGTGTGTGTGTGTGTGTGTGTGTGTGTTGGACTGTGTTCTGGAACCCTGGTGAGTGCAAAGCAAGTGCGGACATGAAAGGTTGCATTTCCTTATGTGAGGGGGAAGGCCAGCCCGAAGGGAAGTGAACTGGTATTGTGGATTTTGAGTGGCTCAGGGAACCATAATCAGGGAAACTCTCAAGAGGATGGGTAATTGTTGTAGTTGTTGTTGTAAACCTAAAGAAAAAAATTGTAACACTAACAAATCCCTTCCGACAGTCTTTTAGGACAGCTACCAAGTCAATGGGATGATCCTAACCTGGCTCCATGGACATGTAAATTAAGAAGAGTTTGGATCTTTAAAAATAGGCCAGTGTCTGCTGGGAGATTGAGATAGATAGAGAGGAGTTTGGATCTTTAAAAATAGGCCAGTGCCGGCTGGGAGAGTCAAGCTAGAATCAGAAGGGACAGAAAATCCCCAGGGCAAAGACAGGTAATAACAATCCAGTGCTTGAGGAGAAATGGCTGTAACTTTGAGTAAAAGTGAGAAGTTCATTAAAACAATTAGGAAGAATCGCAAATTGTAAATAGACCCGACTAGTCCTTTAGGGAAAAATACTAAGAGGTTGGGGAAGGCCCCCCCAATACAGTAAGATGATTCAGAAGTGGGGCTGACCAAAGAAGATATGGTTAGTTTATATTGTTATATGTGGTAGGAAGACCCAGGAGTAGAAGAAAAGAAATACTGCAGTGTTATAAGATTCTACTTTTAAGGTTTATAGTTCTTCCCACCTGGGGTTTAGCAGGTAATAAAAGGGTAAAGCCTAATTTGACTTGATCAGTTTGATGTGATCTCTGTTAAAAATTATTAGATGTTCATCTATAATAATAGTGTGTAGAATTGAATGGGATTGAATTGATTGTGATATGTTTGGCCGGCCGGCAAATTAAGCAAAGTTCTCAGCTTGAGTTTGAAACTGTGGGAAACTGGCAGAAGTTAGGGCCCAAAATCACATTTTTGATTAAACTACTTCCTGAGTTTTCCCACCGCTTGAAGAATGAGCTACAGATTGACCAAGGAAAGAAAAAGTGGAGATTTAAAGGGATGGACAAAACCTCCACATGTCTGAAAATGTTGTTGGATGGTATATGTGTATGTGTATGTGTGTAATCATTTCCAGACCTGGATGGAGGATGAAACCTTCTAATAGTACACAACATTATTTAGAAAATGGAACTCATTGGCTTGTAAAAAGCTCTCTGAAATAATTGTAATGATTGGTTTGCATGAAAGGGGATTTTTGCATGTGAAATTTGTTTACACCAGCAGTTTGATCACAGTGCAAATGTGAGTATGTTGAGGGTAAAAGTTGGTGTGAATGTACTTTGATTCCCTTTCATATAAAGAAACAATAAGTTGCAAGGAAAAGAAATGAGAAAGATCCCAGTTAAGTGATGTTGGCTTCAAATTATTGCTGAAATCTAAATGTCACTGGAAAACATGCAAGGCACACGTTGAAGTGAAAAAGCAGGTGGTTTCTTAGAGCAGCTGAAGGTAACTTACATGTGCTTCAGCAAGTGTTCGATGCACTGCACGAGAATGATCCCATCAAATGGAGAGTGTTCACACACTGTTCCACAGACTCCATCTCGCCCTACGACAAACTAAGCAGGGACATTAATTTAGGCAGAAGCGAAATGTGGATTTGGTGACTCTTGAGTTCAAAAGAATGCAGTACATTTTGCCTTTAAGATACCAGTTAGAGAAATAGACCAGCCAGTATTAGTATTGGAGACTGGGTTTGTTTTATGCATTGGCCAATTATCACAGAAATAATTTTAAATTCCCCAGTATAACAATATCCAAAGGTCTTAAACTTGACATAGTTGATGACGTGAAATATCAAAAAGCACCTAAGAGAACATTGAAAGGAAGTGCAAAGGCATAAAAATGTCATTGATTTTTTTCAAAAAACAGTGTCAAGCCTGAATTAAATTGATACGTGAAGCTGGTGTTAAAGAAACTCCTGGCAGCCAAACTATACACAAAGCTGTCAAAGTGTGAGTTCCACAAGACCCGCCTAGACTATCTGGGATACCGAGTGTCTGGCGAGGGAGTAGAGATGGATCCAGGAAAAGTAAAAGCGGTACTAGATTGGCAACCCCCAGGCACCCGCAAGCAACTGCAGAGTTTCCTGGGGTTCGCCAACTTCTACCGGCAATTCATCCCCGCCTTTGCCAAAATTGCCTGGCCTATCACCGAACTGTTGAAGGCGGGGAAGGGCCCGCAACAGCCACAGCCGAGTCAACCCCTACAGTGGACACTAGAATGCCAAGACACCTTATAGCAGCTGAAAGGTTTGTTTGCCAAAAAGCCGACCCTCAGGCACCCTGACCCAGAGCAGGCTTTCGTCTCAGGATGAACAATGCCTATGAAGATATTCCATAGGGAGGCATTCTCCTCCTCTCCAAGGGTTCTCTCTTGTCTTCACTTTCACACAGAATAACAGAGGGGGAAGGTCTGTTAGTCCTAATCCCCTGCTCAAGCCGGAGGCCCTATATCATTGGAGGAGCCAAAGGAAAGGGGGCCAGTCTATATTCTCCAATGCCCCTGAAGGCAGGACAAGAAGCCATCGATGGGAACTAATCAAGGAGAGAAGCAACCTGGAACTAAGGAGAAGTTTCCCGACAGTGAGCACAATTAACCAGTGGAACAGAAGTTGCCTCCAGAAGTTGGCACTGAAAGTTTTTAAGAAGAGGTTGGACAGCCACTTGTACAGAATGGCATTGGTTTCCCGCTTGAGCAGGGGATTGGACTCGAAGACCTCCAAGGTCCCTTCCAATTCTGTTATTCTGCTATTCCATGTGAAAGTGAAGATGTGAGAGAATGGGAAAAACACTCTTCACCATTACGTGTTGCTGGAGGACTTGAAGCAAGCGATAAGTTGAAGACAGAACCTGGGATACATTCCAATGTTTTCTTTCTTTTCCCTCCTAGTACAGTCTGCTTCCAATGAAGGCTAGATAAATTTTGACAAAGTCCGAACGAACCATCACTTCTAGACCGTTATGTGAAGGAAGCTGAGGCCTTTGGAGGGCCTTCAAAGACAGTCAGCCTGGTCGTGCCATAGCGGTAGAGAGGTGGGCGGTAGAGAGCGGTAGAGAGGTGGGCTGCACATAGCGGTAGAGAGGTGGGCGGTAGAGAGCGGTAGAGAGGTGGGCTGCACATAGCGGTAGAGAGGTGGGCTGCACATAGTGCAGAAGGCAGATTTGGACCCAGAAGGTCCAGATCCATTTTCGGCTTCTTAAGCCTGGATAGGAAGCTCTTTTGAGCTCTTTGAGAGTCCCACATTGTAGCCAGACCACAGGTAGTCTTCAAGGTCTGACCTCAATTGAGCCCAAAATTTATGTTGCTAAGTGAGAAATTTGTTAAGTGAATTTTGCCCCTTCTTATGACCTTTCTTGCCACTGATGTTCAGTGAATCACTGCAGTTGTTAAGTTAGTAACACGGTTGTTAAGTGATCTTGACTTCCCCATTGATTTTGCTTGGCAGAAGGTCGCAAAAGGGGATCCCATGACCCCAGGACACTGCAGCTGTCACAAATACGAATCAGTTGCCAAGCATCCGAATGTAAAGAATGTGACCATGGGGATAATGCAGTGGTTATAAGTGTGAGAAAAGGTTGTAAGTCACTTTTTTCAATGCCATTGTGATTTTGAATGGTAACTAAACACACTGTTGTAAGTCACTGTTGCCTGTAGAAGATCTTAATTGCCTCCCCTGATTCAGCCAGGAATGTGTGTGTGTGCTGTTTCCCTCTGCTGGTTGTTGGGACTTACCTGCGTAGACTTATCATACCAGCGATTGGCACCATTTCTAGGGTAGCCTCCACCATGGAGAAGCTGCAAGGCCCTGTTGGTGTCATTCAGCTCTTCTCCAGATGGACTATCGAGGCAGACCAAGCACAGGCTTCGTTCAATCATATCAAGGGAGTCTCGGTTTGTAGAATCTAGAGTAGAAAACAATTTGCTCGGAATAATGGCAGACTGTTCCTTGATTTTTCGCTCCGAGATGCAATTGTTATGCTTCGTACACTCATTCTCTGAGAAGTATTTTGTTACTTCAGAATGAAGCCAGTGGAAGTTTAGGGTGAACAACATTTGGGTTTTTACCCATCAAGGCTGGGAGGAGATTAGCTCTCAAAGCAATTTGATTGACTCCCCTCTATAAATTCATCTGCTGAACTTGAAAAGCACCAGGTCTCTTTAGTAACTTGATGGACTTACGCGTAGACATGTAGTCATACACATTTTATGAGGCTGACATCTGAAATCAAATCATTCCAACTGGATATTAGATAGTCTTACAATCTAATCATTGCGGGGTCCTTGGTGCTCTCTGAGCTTGGTTGTTTTCTTGCAGACGTTTCATTACCCAACTAGGTGACATCATCAGTGTGAAAAGGGAATGGGGTTTGCACACCCAAGCACTGATGATGTTACCCAACTGGGTCAATGTCTGAAAGAAAACCACCAAGCTCAGAGACCACCAAGGGCTCCAGAATTCAACCCTGTGTTACAAAATTCTCTTCTACTGGCAATCTAATCTTTGCCTAAGGAAGCCTTGAAGCCTCTTCCACCTCTAATAATTCCTTACCTCCAGTAACAAGAGGAAATGTGAGCATTACAATTTATGAAAATAGAAATTGTCTTTTTAGATGGGACCAGAGATCTCTCATGTCTGGGATGAGATGGGTCTACTTGGATAGGAGAACCATCTGAGCCCACAGAATGGTAGAACTTTCAGCAACCTCATTTCAGTTTTTGTAATGTGGAAATGAGGCCTAGATGGATATTTCTTAAAGAAGAAATAATAGGTGGACATGCTCCATTGAAATTGGGCTGTTTTGATATTATCCCCAAAATTAAATCTGGGTATGCTTTTAATTTGGGTTCAGATGTGGTCCAGAATTAAAATATGCCACATGCTAAGAATGATTGAAGTGTCGTTCTGTAGGATTTCCAGACTTCTTGACAAGTTAAAAGGAATAAGTGAGATGGACTTATTGGACAAGGAGACTATAGGCAGAGCAAGAAGTCCCCGGAGCAAGGGGAAAAAGAAAAGGGGAATGGAAAAATGCTAGAAAGGGGATAGCCGCTGTTGAGGACCTCCACCAAATAACTGAATGATGGGGTGTGTGGGACTCCCAGGAGGCTCTCGCTGACCTTCCATGAGGATCGCCCTGGATGTGGCCCACTCCAGCCTTCCATCTGAGGTCAGGAGACCAATTGGAGGCAGCCTCTCTTCCTCATTCTCCGACATCTTAACTATCTTCCGTAACTGAGTGAAAAGGTCTCCTTCGCTGAGACGCCGGAAATTAATCACCACGTCCAAAACAAAAAACTGCGGAGAAAGAATCAGGAATGAAAAGAGGAGCATGGTTTCATCTTTGAATCAAGGGACGACTGCTGCTGCCTGAAGGCCATTCTTACCTTGCTGATGTCCTCCTGGAGGCCATTCACAACTCCTTCCTGCTTGGCTTGGTTTCTTGACCCATCCACATTCTGCCCTGCCCCATCACCAGCCTCTGAGCATCAACAAAGCACATTTAGATGGGGCCAAAGTAAAATTGAACTAGGCGTGTTTGTGCCAGACATCGGCCAGCTAGACCAGTGAGACAATTCCAAGACATTGTTTTACAAGAAGAGCACCTAATGGCAGTGGGGTGAGGGTGTCAAAAAAGTCAAAATGATGGTTACAACCATATAAAGCTTCACCACTTTTTATTTATGTTTGTACATGTTGTGCATTTTAAAAAAGGGGCGGGGCTCTCATCACATGATCACGGCTGCCATTTTGACTCTTCTGAGATGTGGATTCACCAGTAAATAATAAGTTTAATAATAAATCCAATGTTTAGGGGAATTGGAATTAGGAAACCCAGACTGAAATCTTCACTACATCACAAACTCATTGAATGATTGGGTTAGTCAGTTTACCACAATAAATTTTACCTTGTAGGATTGTAGTTGTGGAGATACAACTGTTCAATGTACCCCACAGTCGTGTCTACCTTATTTTCCCCACGTACTTTGTCTCAAACACTTTGAGAAAAGTTGGTTGGTAAATACAATTAAAAATTACTAACTTAAAAAAAGAAAAAAAAAGTGAAGCTTTCTCTGGAAAAAGGGGAAACAGACAGAAAATCTGCCAACCTCAGTCTCAGTATGTGAGGTCCTCAGGTCCTTGAGAACAAATTGTGACTCCAGTCACCAAGAGTATATTCAGTTTTGCTTCGATGGCCAAAAGTCAACTGAGAAGAAGGAGGCATTCATTTGGAACAAACTTTTCACTTCCTTTTTTATTTCTTCTCAACCTGTTTGTAAAGTCTTGCCTCTCCAATCTTCCCAAGAAAGCAGGACTCTTGAAACTGCAGTTGTTCCAAAAGGAGCTTTTATTGAAAGGCTTGTGAGGTCTAGGCAGGAACTAAATGTTCTCACTTAAAAAAACAGCAATTTAAAGCAGTGCAAACAAAACCCCTCCCACAGTACAGCAATGCAGGAAACAGAAACTTCAGATAGATATCTTTCCAAGCAGTAAATAGAAACAGAAACTTCAGATAGAGATCCCCCAATCCTTCCCCCTCCCACCAGAATGCCAGCGTCCCAATAGAAACATATGGGACCTGACATGCTGCCCCCCCTAGAAAAATGGGAAGTCCACCAGAAAGAAAAGAAAAAGAGGGAAGGGGAGACAAAGAAAACATAAAATCAGCAAGGTTCGTCAGGGTACAATTGATGAAATATACTGTACATATTAATTTAGGGACATGCACATGTTTTTTATGAACTCATTCATTGTGTGAAAATGGGAGGGTGTTTCCAAGCCACCAGGTACTAAGTGACTCCGTGGAATTTCCTAGAGTCTAGAATTTCTTGAATTTCAAAATGTTGTTCGTCCTTTATCATAAAAGGGGGTGGAACAGGGGTAGTAACCAGATGAAGGTCAGAGGTGATTTCAGGCTTCAGCAAGCTACAATGAAAAATGGGGTGGACTTGCTGTAATGACTTAGGGAGTTGCAATTCCACCATGACAGGGTTAATACGAACAATGTGGAGAGTCTGGATAGCTCTGCAGACAAGACACTGTAATTTAACACCAGCTGTCTGCAATTAAAGTAAGTTCAAATCTTGCCAGGCTCAAGGTTGACTCAGCCTTCCATCCTTTCTAAGGTAGGTTAAATGAGGACCCAGTTTGTGGGGGCAATAAGCTGACTTTGTATAAATATACAAAAGTATGAAGGCTATTGCTTAATGCACTGTAAGCTGCCCTGAGTCTCCGGAGAAGGGCGGCATATAAATCAAATTAAAAAAAAAAAAAAAGGCCCAATGTATTTAGGGCCCAGCTATTTTAGACTACTGCAAAGATTTTAGAAACTTGGTGGAAAGGTAAACTTTGTCCCACACTTTATAAGGTCTCGGTTCTATTTGTTTCTTATCTGCTTGTGCTTTATAGGCAGCCTTGGCTTCATCCAAGGCTTTGCGGACCACCGCCCAAATGGTTTGCAAATCACTGATCCACTGTTTCAAGGAGGGGATTTCTGGTTCATGTAAGGGTAACTCAGGCATAGCATTAAATTCTTGCCCTGTGGCCACTCTGAAAGGGGTAAAACCTGTGCTAGTGTGAACTGCATTATTATAGGCCACTTCTGTAAAAGGCAATAGCTTGGTCCAGTTGTCCTGCTGATAATTAATAAAACAATGCAGGTACTGTTCCAGAACTGAGTTCATTCGTTCCGTGGCCCTGTTTGTTTGCAGATAATGACTAAGTTCTAGTCATCATCCATAAACAAACAGGGCCACAGAACAAACAAACTTAGTTCTGGAACAGTACCTGTTTGGTTCCAAGTAGGTCCAAAAAGGCTTTCCAGAATTTGGATGTGAACTGGACTCCTCTGTCTGAAATAACATCATGGGGCCCCATGCAAGCAGTATATGTGGACCAAAAACAGCTTAGCCAAGGCTTTGGCCATAGGGATCTTTTGGTGTGGGATGAAGTGAACCTGCTTTGAGAAAAGGTCTGTGACAACCCAGATCACTGTGTTTCCAGAACTCTCAGGCAATTCTACAATAAAATCCATGGAAATCTCTCTCCATGGTGCTGAAGGATCAGCCACCAGCTGCAGTAAATTGGGTTTTTTTCCCTGCCTGCATTTAGTGGCATCACAAATGGGGCAACTTGCTACATAGCTTTCTATGAATTGCCGTTTCAGTAAATTTAATGTTTTTACAAAGTGACCAGTTAATTTGGAGTCATGACAAGCTTGCATAGCTTTCAGCCTTTCCCTATCTGAGACATACAGCTTATTTCCCACCCAAGGTAACCCCTCTTGTATTATACAAGTATGTCTATGGGCACTAAACCACTCATCTGTTTCCAAGTTCTTTTTGAATTCTGTGGTGGTGGCATTTTCTAAGGTGGTGGAGTTGTTCTTTGTCTGAGAGCGTGTGACAACTTTAGCTGCTAATTGGGGGGCTGGGAGCATGGGTTTAATTACTTCCGCCCCCACTTCCGGCGGTGACGTCATCGTGTTAGGGACGAAAGGAACGGTTCTCCGTTCTCCAAGTCCCTAATATCGCCGATTTAGGAGCCGATATAGGCACTATTGACCTCGGATAGGTCAATAGAAAAAAGGGGAAACTCCGAGGACCTCGGGGAGGACAGCAATCCCCCCGAAGGTTCAGGAAACCCCCCCTTAATCCTGATCGGGGAAAAACCAGCCACCCGGCTGGCCAGAAACGTTGACAGCTGACTAAGAGGGAAGCGAAAATCAAATAAAGAAGACTTCGGTGGAAAGATCGGGAAAGAAAAAAGCTCAAAAGGTATATTTACAACCCATAACGTGAAATTCGAAGGCGGAAGAAGTTAAAACTCCAACTAAGAAGCTAGATAGCGGCGACTGAGAAATAAGCGGAGACAGCTTCCATTTTGACAGTGACAGCGCACAATTTAGCAGCCGGTGAAAGCGGAGGAAACCCAGGAGGAGAAGGCGAGCCCAGACAAGCTTGGTTTTTGAATATACAGCCACAGAGGAGAGACGGAATTTAAGGAGAGAAAGGGGGTTAATTTGACAGACTTTGTAGAAGCGATAACGAGACATCTAACAAACATTCGATACCGGAAGAGAGAGCGCCAGGAAAACTTCGCTTAAAGTGGAGATCACTGACTTTTCGAGCTAAATTAAATTAATTTAAGCGGAATATTTCTCTTGGGACTCTTGGACTTTTGGACTTTGGAAATTTGGAGGTTTGGACCTAAACTTCGGGATTTGGATTATTCTACCCTCTACTCCTTTTCTCTCTCTGTTTGAAAGGTGGACACTTGGGGGTTTTGAAGCTTTGGTGGACATTGGACACTCAATCTAAAAATATTTGGACATTGGACATTGGACTTAGAACTTTGGACTTTGAACAATAAATAAGAAAGATACAAATTTGGGAAGAAGAGAAGGAAAAGAAAAAAAAGAGAGAGAGAGAGAGAGAAGAGAGTGATCCAGAAAAAGAAGAAGAAGAAGAATCAACTGTAAAGTATAATTAATTGTATTAAAAGCTGATAACAAATTAGTGATTAAGAACCATAGAAGGCATTAATATTAAATGTATTGTTTGTGAAACCTATAAAATCCTATATATTATATATTATATACTATATATATAACTGTTAATTTAATTTTATATTTACTCTTAATATATAACTATATTTATCTTAGTGCTATATTTTATCTTGGTAGTTAAATATTATATCTCTTTGCATGTCTAGCTTTGAAAACTATATTAGACAGATTAATTGATTTTAGGGTTGAAATTAAGGTAATTGATTTGATAAATATTAATTAATAGTACTTAACAATTAATTTAAATAAGATAGTAAATAACCAAATATAAGGATAGTTAACTGATGAATTGCTGAAGTATTAGACTTTTCCCTCGCTTCCCCCCCCTTATATTCTACCCCTATGTTTAGAGAGTAATACAGACCAGACAGTTATTTTGAATTGAAGATCTCTGTAAAATATCGAAAAAGGGAAAATAGAACTTATAGATAAATTTACATATAGATAGTGATAGTGTGACAAGGGAACCTATCCTAGTTGCTTATTTGCTTGGGATTACCCGGACTATTGAAAGCCACTAACCATACAAAAATCCCAAAAGAAATAGAATAACCTAAATAGAAATCAGTATATGAGATTCTGGGAGAAGATATTAAAAGAAATACAAATGGCAACTACAAGCTCAACAACAATCTCTAAGTTAAGTAAGAAAATACCATCAAGTCAGATGATACTCACGGCCTCCCCAATACAACAAAAAACAGCTGAAACCACGGAAAAGGATAAAGCA